TGTAGGACGATGGAAAGGTGGTTGCGATGTTCCTCCCAATTATGGCTGTACACCAATATGTCATCAAAGAATACTAGAACAAACTTCTGGAGATATTGCCGAAAGATGCGGTTAATGAGGGCTTGGAATGTGGCGGGCGCGTTCGGGTTTCTGGAACCCCGTGCATCTATGCTGTCGTGGCTTCGAACTCGTCTTGGTATTCCGCCACTGACGTGCGCTGCCTGAGGGCCATCAGCTGCTCTACCGGGTCAACTTTCCTGGCGCAGCCAAATCTCCTCAGCACTGCCGCGCAGAACTCCTACCAAGATCGGAACGGGTCCTGCGCGTCAGCCCACTGGAACCAACCCAGGGCTCTCCCCTCCAAACAAAACTGAGGCTACCATCACCTTCTCCTCGTCTTCCATGTCATTCACGGCAAAATACCGGTCGGCCCTGAACACCCAACCCTGGGGATCATCTCCTTGGAACAAGGGCATCTCGAGCCGCCTTCTTCGGTGCTCCACTCGACTGCTCGGTATTGGAGGTGTCTCCTGGCGGTACTCACGTTCATAACGCCGAGGCTCCTCATGGTGAGGGGGAGGCGAGACTGGCCTAACGTTCGGCAGTGGTCGGCGAAGGTCAGGGAACCTCTGAGGCCCCACATCAAACCTTGGGGGAGGTTGCTGGTTGCGTTGGAGCAACTCCGCCTGCCAAATAAGCAGGTTCTCCAGCCTCCTCACCGACCCTTGCATTTCCCCCATCTGGGCGCCAATCTCAACCACGTCTTCTTGAAGTTTTGGGAGTGGCTCCGTCATCGCCTCCACGGTCTGCAAGGCTTCGTAAAACGTTCCCATCCTCTGCTCGAGCCGAGCCAGTTCTTCCCCCTGAAACTGCTCTCCGGAAGCATCTGCCATGGATCGACCAGCTCTGATACCAAATTGTTACGTTCCTGCACAATTCAATGAATAACAGACAATAACAAGCAGATTCTCTAGAGAAATTAGACGGTTTCCTTTTATTGATTCAACAAATAGAACCAATGGAGGTGAATTCTTCCTCAAAGAATTACAGGAACAATGAAAAATAGAAAGTATCCGAGAGACGATAGAAATGGGAGAATTCGAGGTTCCCAGCCTCCAAGGTCTGAAACAGAAAATACTCAAAATCCAGACAGCCCACTCATCCCCCTACCCTACTGCCTAAATACCCTTTAGCTCACACTCGTAACTAACTCTGCCAATTCAGCAACTTATTCCTGAATCCCACGCCTTTCCCCTGCTTCCTACCAATTACCCTTCCTGCCCTTCTTCCTAGCATACACTAATGTCATAGGAGGCCTAACAGAGGCCAATCCATATTTGCTGCTAAGGATAAGAGAACCCTAACAGTGTTGAGCTTTGCAACTGGAGGAAACGTTTCTGTGTAGTCTATTCCGTAGGTTTGAGTGAAACCCTTTGCTACGAATTGGGCTTTGTACCGCTCTACTGAACCCTATGGCTTTACTTTAATTGTGAACACCCACTTGCATCCCACCACTTTTTTGTCTTGTGGTAGTTCTACTAGGCTCCAAGTCTCGTTTTTCTCAAGGGCATGCATCTCTTCTAGCACCGCAGTCTTCCATTTTGGAACAGCTAGAGCTTCTTCAATTGTCTTGGGAACATCAAGTTTGGAAAGGTTTGTTGTGAAACCACGAAACAAGGGTGATAGATTATCATATGACACAAATTTGGAAATTGGGTGTTTTGTACATGTCCTAACACCTTTTCTTAGAGCAATGGGATCATCTAGTCTATCATGGAGAGTTTCGGGATTACCTGATGATGACGGATTAGGACCCACCATAGGTTCGGATTCAGGGCAGTCCACAGCGCCTGTGAGTTGTTTATTTCCTTGAAAATTTTTCCTCCGAGAGTAGACTTGCAGTTTTGGAGGTGGTTGTGGATTTGGCAACAAAGGTGGCTGCGGAATTGGCTATGAACAAGGTTGGGACGACTGCTGTGGCTGTGAGGACAACTGTGAAGGGGGTTGTGAATCTTCCAGTTCAGTTTTAGTTTGGACTGGAACTGGAATATTGACAATGGGGGCTGACTGTGGGGTCAAGGCTTCTTCAACTGTGGCTGTGACATCCCATTCCCACACATAAGCTTCTTTATCATTACTCTCCTCCTGAAGTGAAGTGTGGGAATAAAAAGGTATTTCTTCAAAAAAAGTAACATCTCGGGTAACAAGGGTTTTTTTTTGTTTGCGGGCAGAAACAACGATACCCCTTTTTTGTTGGACAATATCCGAGGAAGATGGTTTTTATGGCTCGGGGGTCGAGTTTGGAGCGATGTTGGGAATGGACATGGACAAACGTAGTACAACCAAAGGTTTTAAGGCGAAGGTTGTTTGTGAGGATATTGGAGTGTGGGACTTGAGTTGTAAGGACAAACAATGGGGTTTGAAATTTTAGGGGGCGGCTGGGTAGTCTATTAATGAGAAAGGCTGCAGTTAAAATGGCATTACCCCACAAATATTTGGGTACATTCATAGTGAACATAAGGGCACGGGCCACTTCCAACAGATGTCGATTCTTTCTTTTTGAAGTTCCATTTTGCTGTGGTGTTTCAGTACAAGAACTTTGGTGAATGATTCCATGTTGATCAAGATAATTACCCAAAGTGGACTGGAAGTATTCACTGCCATTATCAGTTCTTAGAATCGAAATCTTTCTCTGAAATTGAGTTTGAACCATATTATGGAAGGTTTGAACGATTTGGCTGGTTTCAGATTTTTCCTTAAGCAAGTAAACCTAAGTCACCCGTGTATGGTCATCAATAAACGTGATAAACCATCGTTTGTCATCTAAGGTTGTTACCTTAGATGGGCCCCATATATCACTGTGAATCAAGGAGAAATGCATAGAGGGTGCATATGGTTTTGGTGAGAAAGGTACACGCGTATGCTTCGCAAATTGACAAATATCACAAGTAAATGAAACAGTATCTTTATTCTTGAATAGGGCTGGTAACAAAAATTTCAAATAGGAAAAATTGGGGTGGCCAAGTCTATGATGCCACAACATTATTTCTTTATTACTAGAAACCAAAATAAAAGACACTCCTGACACATGTTCTTGTTGACTCTCAGATTCTGAATTCTCAAGGAAATAAAGTCCTTCATAGGCTCTAGCACTGCCAATCGTCTTCCCCAATGATGGGTCCTGAAATTGACACATAGAAGGGGAAAAATTAGCTACACAGTTATTGTCACGAGTGAGTTTACTAATGGACAACAAATTACACTTTAAGGCTAGAACATGTAGGACGGAATGAAGAATAACGTTTTTTGAGATTTGGATTGAACCTATTCCAGCAATAGTAGCTAGAGACCCATCGGCAATCTTAATTTTAGCAGTATTAGAATATTGAGTATAGGAAAAAAAGTGTTTGGAACAACCTGTCATGTGGTTAGAGGCACCGGAATCAATGATCCACGGTTTCTGGGCATGAAGTGATGAGATTAAGGTTGAATGGTTACCATTATGTGTCGTGGTGCACAACCCTACATTAGAAATTGGCTTAGATGGTGGTGTGAGAAGACGATAGAGTTGCTCTAACTGCTCCTTGTTCAGTGAAATTGAAGATTTTGCAGGCTGTTGTTGTGTGGGAGCATCCATTCTGTGCTTATCTTGAGAGGCTTGAAAGCCTCTTCCTTCATTCTGCTTCCGAGGGGTCCAGTTTGCTGATTTCCCATGGATTTTTCAGCAAGTGTCTTTGGTGTGTCTAGATCGCTTGCAACACCAAGGCCTGTTTCTTCTTTGTTGGTTTTTGCTATTGAATTGTGGTCCTCGTGCGGCTAAGGCAGAGGCATCCGTGGTTGAGTTTCCAGCATCATTAGAAGTCGAGATCACAGCATCATTGGGGGTTCCTAGCATTAATTTCTTTCGGCTCTCTTCTTGCTTTACTTCTGAAAAAACCACACGAACATCTGGTAGGGGCTTCGTACTTAAGATCCTTCCACGAACATCATCTAAGGTTTTATTGAGACCAAGTAAAAACTTGTAAACTCTATCTCTTTCCAGAATTTCCTTATATCGCTTATGATCCTCGGCACAATGCCAAGCTATTTCGTCAAGGATGTCTAGTTGCTGCCAATGGCGTGATAGAGTATTAAAGTATGCTGTTACGCTTAATTCTCCTTGGCGAAGATCGTTCAGAATTCCCTTGAGCCTGAAATCTCTGAAGTGTTTTCCCTGTTGGAGTAACTCTGTTTCACTGCATCCCACATCTCTCTTGCTGTTTTGTAATACATGAAGTTTTCTCTCATCTCGGTATTCGTGGAGTTGATCAGCCATGACCGAACCATGCTATTTTCTGTTTCCAAGTTTTAAACTTGGGCGCCTTTTCTTCCGGTTGTGTAGCATCGCCGGTGAGGTAGTCTTCTTTTTCCTTTCCTTCGATGAACATCATTACGGAATGTGACCATTGGACGAAATTTTGTCCATTGAATTTGATTTGCTGAAAGGAGGCTTCAAATCCATTGATCTGGATCGGATTGATAGCCTTTGAAGAGGCAGAGGTAACCTCGGATGATGAGGTTTCTTTCCCGCCGGCCATTCCGTATTTTGGCATTCCGGCTGGCAGAAAGAATTAAGGTCCAGAGAGTGGCTCTGATACCATGAAAGCATATTTGAAAGCAAATATTCTGCTATATTATTGAATGTTGCGAAAATACAAATAAATAGACAGCCAAGGTTAGTTGGCTTATCCGAATAAAAAGGAAAGAAAATCTCCTAATAAAGTGACCGATTTGAATTTAATATTCAAATCAGATTTTATTGACTAATCGCTAATCCTAACCAACCGGGATTATCACTAGGAGAAGATAAGAGAAGATTTGAATATCCAAAATCTTCCAAACTGATTTATCCTAATAAAATCCGATTAGACCATTCTTACCCTAATATGCCAACAAGAAGGACCATCAAATATTCCATCCTCTGGTTAATTGATGTTTGTTGGATTGTTTAATCTTTTCAGGATCGCCTTACTGGCCTACAGCCCCCTTGCAATGGGTATACTTTCTGGGAAATATTTTTTGCCTGATGGAGGTCCAGGAGATGCTCGGTTAAATATTTTTAGAGGTGTTTTATGTTCAATTCATCGTTGGATATATGGCAATCTTCTTTAGTCTAGTGGTGATGTCTCATGTAGCGAGTTTTCTTATTTCTTTCCCAGGAAGGTATTCAGAAGGGGAATCCAGATACAATCTATCCAACAAGATCATAAAAGCCGCTACTGTGGTATGCACATTCGTCCAAGTCTTGCTTTTGACCTTCGTTTTTGCAACTATTGTCTGAAGCTCAAAATTGTCTTTCAAGCAATACACTCTCTTTGTGCAATTTAATACGTACGTTTTTTTTTTTTTTAATTACAACGTGACTGTAGTGTATATAAACATATATCTGTGTGTGTGTGTGTGTGTTAATTGCTGTCGTGCTCCTTTTTCGGGATCCTAAGGTGGATGCACTTTTAGTCTTGCTACTCAAAGTTGGCAATTTCACCATTATCTGCAGTTCAAAGCTGTGGGTTGTGAAAGCTGATAATGCAAAAATTAATTTCACTTTGTTTTGCTGAAGAATCTTTCATTCCTGCATTTGCTTTTACTTGACCACATTGATGTTTATCTTCAATTCATCCCACATGCTGTTTTCGCATGCTCATTACTCTGACATAATATTATGCTTGATGTATGTTCCACAGGAATACCTTGATATTGCAAATAAATTTGGTCTTCATCCAGTATCTCTTGCAATTGGTTTGATGTTTCTCCCTCCCTCCTCTCTCTCTCTCTCTCTCTCTCTCTCTCTCTCTCTCTCTCTCATGTGTACATGTCTTTTATTGGAAAATGCTATTAGTTTTCTGTTCCTCCTAATAAATCATTCTGAAATAGAGTCGAGAAAATTTCCATCAATTAATCATTTGCTTTTTATGCTCTCTTTTGTCAATCACTAAACTATATATTTCTGAACTGTGTTTTATTTGGGATGTGGCAGCTTTTGTCTTGAGACATCCTCTTGTCGGGAGTGTTATTTTCGGAGCTACCAAGTCTTGGCAGCTTCAGGAGATTCTAGATGCGTGCAAGGTTAACCTAGCACCCGAATTAATTGAGGAAATTAACAAGGTTCACTCAAAGTATCCTAATCCATGCCCCTAATCAACATTCATCTTACTGATCTGTCCTTGATGTTTTAATGGAAATCAAATCACACATAACAAACTCAGAATTTGGTAGGCTGTGATTGGTGATGCTTTTCCATTTAGTATCTTCATTTGTAGAAAAAAGGGGTAATTAACATGTTGATGAAAGTTAATTTACCAACTAAAAATGCTAGTGGCTTCAAATTTTAATATATATATATTATCATTCTTTGTTGTAAGTGTTAAAAAGTTACCAAGTCAACTAGAAATAAAATCTCGTGTCACTTACAATATAAAGATGACAAATTATATAGCACCGATATTAAAACGTTGATATAATAAGTAGCATTACTTGCATTATTCATTACTATTGAGAATTTATTGAAAAAAATAAACCTTTTTTTTTTCAAGTATTCTTTTGTTCGTGCGCTTTCGTCCTAGTGGATCCACACAAGTGGATCCTCACAATCGGTGTAAAGTAGAACAGATCTGTTATAAAAGAGGCTAAGATTCGGGCTATCCATGCATTATTGTTGTAGATATGGACACGGATTGCGCTTTTAAAGCCTGTAAGTGTGGATGTATAACGCTTTTCACTTTTCAGATTGTTTTTTTTTTTAAAGGTTTGAGTGGAGTATTTAGGTGTCAGTCCTAAATGAAAGAGGCCCCTCGGTTTTATAAATAGCATCAGGGTCGTTGTTTGGGGAGTTTATTTAAGGCAGAATGTTGAACAATGTCCGGACATTATTATATATACTATAAGAAATAAAAGATTCACTATTCACATATTTACAATTCACAATCACTATTCATTCAGTAACATTTATGAAATTTGTTTATGTTCTTTTTTTTTAGTGTATTTTGTTAATTTTACTCTTTTTTTTCTTTTCTTTTCCCTTCCTTGTGCATGAGTTTTTACGTCTTTCGCTCTAGAATTATCACGTGTCGACGTCCTGGCCGAAGAAAAAAGTGGCGGGGCTTACCACTACGAGGCTACCCTCTTATCCTTGTTGAACGTGTTTTTCTTGCGCGTGCTTTTTATGCGCGAATTACAGTCATCGAAATTTTTGATCGGACGATTTCAAATAATTTCTGGTTTATTTTTTAGATTTTTATTCTTTATTATAGTTATTTATTATTTTGAATTGATTTGGAGTTTAATTTTGTCCGTTTTACCATTATTTTGTGTCAAAATTTTTATATTACTTAAATAAAAATATCATAAATAATAAAATAAAATAAAATAAAAATACGCTAAATTAAAAGCAATTAACACCAAATTAAATAAAAAATAAGCAAAATAAAATAGAATTAATTTAAAATGCAATGAAATAAGTTAGATTATTTTCTTTCTCTCTGCTTAAGATTTTCCCCCTTTATTGTTTTCATTTCTTTTATGTTGTCTTTTTTACTTTCTTTTTTTAAACAATTTGTATTAGTCGTTATTTTAAATTAATCATGTATGCGTAGCACGCGTTTGAAGTTAAAACTAAACAAAAAGAAAAACATTGAAAAAGAAAGGTGATGATTTGTAGTCTGATTTTATCCATTTCAATACCATTTTGCGCTAAATTTTCAAAGTCTCAAATGATAATAGTATAAAAAATTTGAATGAAAGTTAAAATTAAATAAAAATACACTAAAATAATATAAAGCCGCACCTTTTTAAATAAATTAAATTAGAAATTACTTCAGTGGTTGGAAGAGCAACACAAACATTAATAAAAAAATCATGCTCTACATTTAACAATTGATGAAGGCTTTACTGATCTATTTGTAATTCTACCAATCATTGTTCAGTTAAAAGGATAAATAAAAATCTTGCAAGTTTATTTTCAACAAAGGGGAGCACAAATAACTACAGTTGTTTTAAAAATACTTGAAGATGTCCATCTTTTAATATCACTATCATAAATATCAGCTGTCACAACAATAGATCTAAAAACACCATATTCTATAAAATTGACCGCAAGCTAAGACATATTTATTAATTTATATCAATTATCAATAAAAATCAACATTTACTATTTTGAATACATATATTAACAATTTTTAATCAATTCAGTTCTGAATTAAAGATAATAGACCCACCCATAAATGTCTAAGGACTATGTAATATAACTACATCTAAATCTTCTGATCTACACTATATATAATTAAAAATTTTAAACTTTCTTAATTTTTTTACTATAAAAATTTCGTACAACGCATGAACTTTTAACTAGTATAATCTTGAGAGGATGGCCTCTATTTCCACAGCTTGTAAAGATAACCTCAAAGCATGGATCTAATTAGGGACTTGCACCTCTCTCTCTCTAATTCTTTATCTTTATGTATCTGGTCAAGAATTCTATCGTGATGCGGCATTGACGGTGTCTGTTTGTACATCGAAATTTAATATTCTGCCACCTAGGTTTATTGGATACCACAACATATGATTGTACCATTCTACATAATATTACTTTTTGTGTCAATCCGATAATTGTGAATTGGGTTGCTAATCTATTTCATATTCGTTTCAAATTTTGATTACAATTGTCAGACAATGGTGGGAAGTGTTTCCTTAAAAGTCATGCAGTGGTCTTCAATTTCATACTATTTCTTTACCATCGCAGTCAGCTATATTAGCCACATCTCAATGAGACGTTTGGTTCATGGATTAAAACTATGTGATTAGAATCATTTTCGATTTACGTGTATTTTTTGTGAGAGAAAATACTGTAGCGAACCACGAACCATGATTCAAATCAAGAGACGAATCCCCCAACCAAACAACCTCAGTCTTCTTGCTCTGTCAAGAAATCTCATAGTTAGGCTCTGTTTATTTCACCGATTTAAATTTAGAATTTAAATTTTACTATAATAAAAAGTTCTAAAAAACAGTCACATTTAATTTTTTTATTACAATAAAAAGCTCTCACATAAAATCACATATCAACTCGAATCAGCAAACTAAACAGACCTTTAATAATATTTACTTCATTAACTGAGTTCTATTATTGGCGATCCAAATCACTACACGATACTAGCACTGATCATCTAATAAGATGGTAAGATTATTCGTTCTTCTTGATAAAATTTTAAGTTTGAGTTAGTGAATTGATATCTTTGCAATCAAATTCGTAAATAATTCATATGTTATGAAGGGATGTTTTTTCTCTTAAACTGATCAAAGTGCATCAACCTCTATTTATAACTCTTCATGTTGAATAGAAAAGGTCAAAACAAGTTAGGAATTCATAAACAATGTCAATGTTTGAAAAAATTAGAGGAATATGTGGCTTGACAAAAATAAAATAAAATAAATCGAGGAAAATGTTGATAAGCAAAAGATGTTTCAGGAATTCATAAACAATGTCAATGTTTGAAAAAATTAGAGGAATATGTGGCTTGACAAAAATAAAATAAAATAAATCGAGGAAAATGTTGATAAGCAAAAGATGTTTCAGGAAAATTTAAAAAAAAAAGTCAAGGGGGATAAGTAGTTTGAAATTTGAGTACTTTCACAACTGGACATGAATTCGGCAGGACCGACTAGGCCGTAGGCCGTATGTTAGCCTTTCTAGAAGGAGACGGCTTGCTCTTTCCTTATTGGACAACGCCATATAAGTCATCTTCCTTTTGTCAGGAATGAGTAAAAGTACACCTGCAACTATTCTCATAAAGATTCATTCACAAGGGAAAAAAGAAAAACACAATTCTCATAAAGAGATGAGAAAATTTAGGCCCCATTCACTTCGTTGATTCGAGTTTAGAATTTGAGTTTTTTTACAATAAAAAATTCTTATAAACAATCACATCTAACTTTTTTGCTACAATAAAAAGTTCTCACATAAAATCACATTTCAACTCAAATTCTAAACTCGAATCAGCGAAGTAAACGGGACTTTAGGAAAATCAGATTTGATATTTTCATCCACATAAAGCTTCTTTTTTAGAGACTCTACTGGTAGGTAAAAAATATATATAAAAAGACAATTTATCATATAGATTTAACAGTTAAAAATAAAAAATTATTGATAATTTGTTCTAATCTTACTAAAAACTCTCTTTTTAAAGTCTAAAATTTAAGAAAAAGCAGTTTTGATATTTTTCATGTTCATATAAATGAACTCCCATCGTTGCTTGAAAAAAAAAATCCTAGATTTTTTCCCAAAATACTCTAAACTGATTACCCCACGCTAATTTCTTGTTGTTGGATTTCTTTTTTCTTTTTTCTTTTTTCTTGTTGTTGAATATTTATCTGGGGGCGGGTGCACACTTGGCTAATTGGGTTTGACATTTGCAGTCTCTTTTACAGTTTACTGTCCCAAAAGGTGTAAAACAGTTGACTCTAACTTTAGGTGATAGTGGGCCCATTGTATAATCATTTTCTCCCTCTCTTTTTCTTTCTTTTTTTTTTTTTTTCATTTTTCGCTGATAATGAGGTTTTTCTTCGCTGGTTACACAGTGAGCTACAACTAAGAATTTGTGCTGTATAATTAGCAAAAAAAAAAAAAAAAAAAAGCCAAACCAAAATAAATAAATAAATAAAACAACTTCTCTCAAAAACAATCTGGACTCTCTCCCCCAAAATCTCTGGTCTCTCAAAAACGAAAAACCCTCACAAAAACTAAAAATAAAAAAATAATAAAAAGACAGTTCTCGCCAAATCAGAGGGTCCGGAGCCTAAGCCCGGGCCCCTCCGCCGCCGGCGCCTCCTCCGATCTTAGGGTTCCGACTGCTTCTCTCTCTCCTCTCTCTATCTCTTTCTTTCTATCTGTATATCTATCTATCCGGATCGCGTAATTTGGCCGGAATTTTATTTGTCGGAGAAATTTGTGGAGTTCGTGATCTGACAACCGTTTGATTCTTTTGGTTCCGGTTGGGATGGGTTCGAAGCCGTGGCTGTACCCGGCGCCGACCTATCGTCCATTGGAGACCTACTGGGACACCGACGAGGACGCTCCTGGTCCTCGCTGCGGCCACACTCTCACCGCCGTCGCCGCCACCAAGACTCACGGCCCCCGATTGATCCTATTCGGCGGTGCCACCGCCATCGAAGGCGGCGCCGCCTCCTCCGCCCCTGGCATCAGTACTTCCTCTCTCGACCTTCTATATATCTATTGCTCTTGCTTTTTTCTGTCGTATCTTTTATCTGTTTTTTTTTTCCAACCGCAATTTGTGAATTTTTGGCTTGTTTAGGGTTAGCCGGTGTGACGAATTCCGTTCACTCATACGATGTTCTCACCAGGAAATGGACCAGGTAACTTTGAATTTTGATTTTATTGTTGTTTTTTCTTGGTAATTTTGGAATTGGATTAGGACATTATTGATAACTATGCTGCTTTCTATGTTGTGGATGCGCAGAATCAGGCCGGCCGGTGAGCCGCCGTCTCCAAGGGCAGCGCATGCCGCTGCTACGGTCGGCACAATGGTTGTCTTTCAGGTGCTTAAAGTAGTGGTTTTTTGACAAGGAAGGAAAAGAAAAGGATTTTTTTTTTTTCTGTTCCGGTGTCGTTTGATATTAGATTGAATTTGAGTTTTTGATCTATGTTTAGGGTGGCATAGGTCCTGCTGGGCATTCTACGGATGATCTTTACGTGCTTGACTTGACAAACGATAAATTTAAGTGGCATAGGTGAGATTTTTTATAGCAAAAATCTAGCGATTTTTCTCTGGTGTTTTGTTATTTGGGATTGGGGTTAATTGAATCATTAAGCTTTTTGTACGTTTTCTTGATGTAAATGTAGAGTGGTGGTGCAAGGACAAGGACCTGGGCCTCGCTATGGCCATGTAATGGATTTGGTTGCTCAAAGATACCTTGTTACTGTCAGTGGCAATGACGGTGAGGGCATTTCCCTGTTCAATTATACTTGAAATTTACATGTTCTATTTTGTTGAAAATTTTAACTGGAAGGACTTCCTCGAGCAATGTCAAGAAGTTGTTTTAGCAAGTTGTTTGTATAATGTGTATCGGAGGAGATCTTCTTAGCGACCTGTGTTGTTGTCTGGAGCGCGTCATACTGAATGGATTTACGTCATTGAATACACTGATAACCACCGTCTTCTAAAGGCATTACTTAAGTAAACCAATTTTAGACTAGGGTTATGCAAAGCTTGGGCCAGGCTAAAAGACTTTGTCTGTAATAGATAGACATTTTGGAGGTCCTATTTTGCAACATGTACTAAACTGCGCTTTCAAGGAAATTTACTTTATCATCCAAGTTTTCTTCAAAGGTGTGTGGAAGTAAATGCTGAGTGTGTGCCACTTCTGAGCAAGCATCGTGGAATATTAATATCTTGCTTGACAGCCAGTATTTGGCTTAGCTTTTACTGCAGAAATTTGGGTGGGCCACAAGTGAACCTGACAGAAAAACAAGAAGGAAGAATTATTGGTGGTGTTGAATTTCTGCGGGTGCTCAATTATGCAAAATAGTGTTTCGAAGTTTAAACTATAATTATGTCTTCAAATCGTTATCTAGAAGAGTTTGTATTGATTTATTTTACATGTTGTGCTGAATTATTTTCTTTCAGGAAAAAGAGTTCTATCTGATGCTTGGGTTCTGGATACTGCCCAGAAACCTTATGTATGGCAGCGGTTGAATCCTGAAGGTGATAGGCCGTCAGCTAGAATGTGAGTACTATTTTCCACATTAACGATTGTCGATTTCACTATTTTTTTTTTCTTTTCGCTCTTCTTTCAGCCATTTAAATTCGGATAATACACTAACCAAACATAGTTTGTAGGTATGCTACAGCTAGTGCTCGATCAGATGGTATGTTTTTGCTTTGTGGTGGAAGAGATGCTTCTGGCACGGTATGTTGGCTCTTTCCGTGGAAGCTTAGGATGAAATGAACAATTAATACATGGCATATTATCCTTATAGCTCACACATTAGTTATTTTGTTTTGTTTTTGGTTTCTGCCCAACTGTGAACTAGCGTCCAACTTTAGAATATGCATCAAAACCTATGAATGGATCTACATGTATAGATCTCTAGGAAGAAAATTTTTTATCTGGAACTCTCTCGTTCTATATTTGTGTGTAATTCAGTTGGAAAAATTGGACGTCATCATAATAAAGTTGTTATACGTCCTTAGTGCTTCATAGCAATTCTAGTGATCTTGGAAGAAATAAAAATAGAGCAGGAATTCTGAATAATATTTGAAACTTGAAATGGGCATCATTTGGAATTGCGTAGAAAAATTTGGGTGATCTAAGGTAACTTAGGGGAATTATAGAGGACTGTGGTGAATCTTGGTTAAGGTGGAGGGGGATAATCGAGGAATGGGACACAATATTTGTATCCTTTAAACAACTTGACTGATTTATTAATTCTGCATGTTAAGTTCTCCCTGAGGCCTTAAAGTGAAATTTTTGCTTTGACAGCCACTGGCAGATGCTTATGGGCTTCTCATGCACAGGAATGGTCAATGGGAATGGACCCTTGCACCTGGAGTGTCTCCTTCACCAAGATACCAACATGCTGCAGTAAGTTATTAGATGTGCATCAGGAATGCGTGGTTACCATATTTCTTTACTTGATTATTTATATTTTCTTAGCATCGAATTGGTATATGCTTCATATTTGAGATATATCTTTTGAAGTAAAGCAAAGATATTAAGCCCTTAGTGGTTTGGCATTATTGGTTTTGTTACTCGTTTCCATTTGCATGCACTTTTTTTCACTTTAATGAGATAGCCTATCTTGTCGAGCCAACTTTTATTATCAAACTTGACATCGTTTGCTATCAGGTTTTTGTTGGTGCAAGATTACATGTTACTGGAGGTGCTCTAAGGGGAGGGCGCGGGGTAGAAGGTGAAGCAGCTATTGCAGGTAAGCTTCTGGCTAGCACTAACCACGTATGGTTATTGTTAAAATTAGTATGCTTCATGTTTACTTTATCTTGCTAATTTGTTCTTGTGTCGGTAGTATTGGACACTGCTGCTGGAGTTTGGTTAGATAGGAATGGACTCGTGACTTCGTCACGCACTGGCAAGGGACATTCTGATTATGATCCTGCCTTGGAGCTTATGCGTCGTTGTCGGCATGCGGCTGCATCTATTGGTGTTCGTATTTATATATATGGAGGTCTAAGAGGAGGTAAAGGCATTAGACACAGTTCCCAACATAATAGAACCCATGAGAGTTATTATTAAGAATTTGGTTAGTGAATTACTACAGTAAGATATGTGTATGATGTTATCTAGGCACTCTCTAATTTATTGACCACCTAACCAGAAATGGTGGCGGGTTATAACTATGATGGCTTGTGAGAGGTTTTATTGGTTACGAATTGCATTTAGTGAAAAACTAAATTGTAGAGAGAACTTTAGGAAGCAATTAAGAGGTCAGGAACAATATCTGGTTTAGTAGTTTCTTTCTAAAAGTAGAATTAATTTCGCATTATTTATTATGTTTCACCCTGTTATGATGTTATGTTATCATTTCTTTCTATACAGATGTGCTACTAGATGATTTTCTGGTTGCCGAAAATTCATCATATCCGTCTGAAATAAATTCTCCCATTTTGACATCTGAGAGATCATCACCTATATCAAGTCCCAATATACATCACTCTAATCTCTCTTTTTCAACAACGCCAACTCTGGACAGTGGGTCTGAGACTCCCTCATCGGGTGGCATGAGGTATTCTTCCATTCTCAGTTCTTTACTATGTAGCCTCTCTCTCACCCTCATATATTGACACCAAATATTACATAACTCTGATGTTGTGTTCCTCCTAAGCAGCATGGATAAAAATTCCTTGGAGAAATTGAGAGAGGCTTCTGCTGCTGAAGCAGAGGCAGCTACTGCTGTGTGGCAAGCGTTGCAGGCTTCATCTGTGGCTCCAGAAGAAACATCTGTATCTGATGACAACTCGCAAGCTGCAGAAACAATATCAGATGGTAGCGACAATGAAGCAGATGTTCGGCTTCATCCCAGAGCTGTATGTTTTTTTTTTGCATCAATCTATTGCTAAAATGACTTTTTGTCACTGAAATTGTACAATTTCTAAGTTATGTTCTGTTGTATTACAGGTTGTAGTTGCTAAGGAGGCTGTAGGTAACCTGGGTGGGATGGTGAGACAATTATCTTTAGACCAATTTGAAAATGAGAGCAGGAGAATGATTCCATCAAATAATGACGTGTCCTATCCTACGAAAAAGTTCACCAGGCAGAGGTCTCCTCAGGGCTTACATAAGAAGGTCAGTAACATCCTATGCTCCTTTTCTTTTTACTTCTTGTCTTTTGTTAAGATTTCTCATTGTATCTCTCCTTGCAGATTATTTCCACTTTGCTAAGGCCCCGGAACTGGAAAGCTCCTGCTAACAGGAAGTTTTTCTTGGATTCTTATGAAGTGGGCGAGCTTTGTTATGCTGCCGAACAAATCTTTATGCATGAGCCTACAGTTCTTCAGCTGAAAGCTCCTATTAAAGTATTTGGTGATCTTCATGGCCAGTTTGGTGATTTGATGCGGCTGTTCGATGAATATGGATTTCCATCCACAGCTGGAGACATAACGTTAGTTTGAAAATTGTTGCCATACTGTCTGACTTATCATTATTGCAGGCAAATCTGGGCCCATGAAAATAAATGAATCTATCATACAAATCTGTGTCCTGTTTATCTTATCCCTTCCGTTTTGATAAGAGAACATCTGTGCTAGTTTGATGGTAGACTATGGTTCTCTGTTTGAAGAATCTAGGAATGGTTGTTTAATTGGCCAGTCTGTCTGTTTCAGGTATATTGACTACTTGTTTTTGGGAGATTATGTTGATCGAGGACAGCACAGCTTGGAAACCATAACATTGCTCCTCGCACTGAAGGCAAACTTCTGTTTTAAAGTATTCCGATTTTGGTATAAAGTCCTGCATCTCACTTAGTGCTCTCTTGATGTTGCAGATCGAGTATCCTGAAAATGTTCACTTAATACGTGGAAACCATGAGGCTGCTGACATAAATGCACTTTTTGGTTTTCGTCTTGAATGCATTGAGAGAATGGTGCATATGCTTACACATTATGCTGCCTTTTGGTTTTTCAGAGTGCTAATAATGATAATAATGACAATTGACACTGATTTGACTATTAGGGAGAGAACGATGGAATTTGGGCATGGACAAGATTCAATCAACTTTTCAACTACCTTCCACTTGCTGCACTCATTGAAAAGAAAATTATCTGTATGCACGGTGGCATAGGGAGATCCATACATTCTGTAGAACAAATAGAGAAGCTCGAGAGACCTATAACAATGGACGCTGGATCTATAATTCTAATGGACCTTTTATGGTATGCTTTTTTCCAATTAAAATTTTCATTTGCTATTTATATATGTTTTGACTTTTTTTATTATTTGGCTGGAAGTTTGACTTATGGGTATTATGATATCTGTACAATCAGGTCTGATCCTACAGAGAACGATAGTGTAGAGGGCTTGAGACCAAATGCTAGAGGACCCGGTCTTGTTACATTTGGGGTATGCATGTTGTTATTCACATAGATGAATCTTAATACACTTCGTCTTTTGTGCCTACATTGATATTCATGTACAACTCGTTTTTCTTGCAGCCGGATCGTGTCACAGAATTCTGTAAGAAAAACAAATTACAGCTAATTATAAGGGCCCATGAATGTGTCATGGATGGGTTCGAACGATTTGCCCAGGGACAGTTGATCACTCTTTTCTCAGCAACAAACTATTGCGGTAAGCAAACTTGCTTTCTTTTTTTAATTTGAGTTTCTAATCTTGGCAATGCTTCTAATTGGGATTTCTAATGACATTTTCATACAGGGACGGCAAACAACGCTGGTGCCATCCTAGTAGTTGGCAGGGGATTGGTTGTGGTTCCAAAATTAATTCACCCCTTGCCGCCGCCTCTGCAATCACCAGAGACATCTCCTGAACGTGTTATAGAGGACACATGGATGCAGGCGATAATTTTTTATTTTATTATATTCTACTCTTGCCCTTGTAGGGAACATAAATTTACCTTAATATGTCATGCGCCTTACTCTTGTATATTTTTGTTGTTCTGCAGGAGCTTAACATTCAAAGACCACCAACTCCTACTCGTGGTCGTCCACAGCCTGACCATGACCGGAGCTCTCTTGCTTATATATGATATGTTTCTTCCCCAAGCGACAGATTTTTGCATCTTTGTAAATTGCCTTTCCGTGGCCTGCACTTCTCTGGAGATTTAACTCTTTCTTGATTCAGCCTCGAGCGGAATATGCGTGTTAGTTCTTGTGTTGTGTATTCATTCTACAGAAGATGAATGTAACTTAGGTTGGAAATACTAGAAAGAAATAGCTGTTAGCGGAATCATTACTCTTCAAAATTGAGTTTGTAATACATGTACATTATTTTAGTCGACCATAGAGATGTATTTTCTGCCTTTCATCATAGGGGTAACTAATTACAGGGAGAGAAATTGGTTGTTTAGTTTTGTGTATTATAAAATAAATAATTATGTACACGATTTGTTTCTTTTAAAAATAATCTATTTTCTATTGGTGAGGCATATTCGCTGCATATGGTTTGTCTTGTATAATTTTCTGCACCTTGTGGTCATTGAAAAGATTCACAATTTGTCTTTGCTACACAACTTCATGGTATCTGCATCATAAATCTGTTCCTACCCGAAAACAAAGTAACCAAATTATACAAACCAAACGTTTAACTTTTGATCTTATTAACAGAAAATACAAACAAACAAAAAAAAAAGAATTACTATTTTGGCGGAAAGATGCGAGAATGAGCAGAAACAATAGCTTCCTGCATGTATTTCTTGGAATTATTGGGGTCAGGAATCCAGCGGATTTCACTCATGTTTGGTGTCTCAACAAAAGTCATAGTGAATTCTCCAACCTTTTCTACCTTCCCTCTCTTGCCCGCTCTCAACACAAGATTGTTTCTGCTGTAAGAGAAAATCCCATTTGACAAACGTATTATGTCACCCGGCTCAAAGGCATCACACTCGTCTCCCCAGAACTGGAAGTGAACTGCAGCCGTCTCATCCGCCACAAGCGCCAAGCATGCCTTGTTGTGACCTTCTGTTGTCGTCGTCGTCGTTTGTTTGCCTTTCTCCAGAAGTATGAATTGTGTGCTTATGTTGTTTTGAGCTGCAGGTACTATGTCTTTGACAGAGATCATCTTTTGCCTTGTGACAACAAGAACCTAAACCTGCAATACCAAAACTTGGTAAACGAACATTGACCATAAAAGGGTAAAACCCCATATTCGGGCAGACATTTTTGAAATATATATTATATATGTCTACACACATAAATCAGAGAAAGCGATAAGAAGACCCTACGGGATCAGCAAGCATAAGCATAACAATTAGGTATTCGAAGTTTTAAATCACAATGACAAAGTGCCAGAACAAAAGAGCAAGAATTAAAGATCTCTCAGACGCAACTATCAAAAATAAAAAATAAAAAAATAATTTAAGACGCATTTCATCGAGCACTTTCAGTACAATGTCTAGTTTAAGTATCCTTATTAACACAACGATTTCGAAAGAACTATGCAACGATTTAAAAACACAGTAAGTACGGCGATGGTGGTTCTGTGTACGTATCGCATCTTCTAGGGTAATCAAACTATGGTTGTCTCGAAATCATAGACATTCGAAGATTAAGAATTATAAAACAAAGAGAAGAGAAAGGCATGAGCAAGAAATACCTCGATTGATATAATGAGGAAATCCTTGGAACTGAATTGATAAGAGTGCCAAGTCTGTGGTAATAATTATGTAGTATCATACAAAATTATCGGACGATTACAGGTATCAGTAGACGATGTGCTGTCGGTTGGAGGGCGGGTTTAGTTGCCTTTTAAATTCTGAATGCAACAAGTCATGGGTTCGGGCTGAACCATGGCGCCGGCGGTGGTCGAGTATATGGACATTGCACTAAGTTCGGGTTATATGGACGAAAAATTTATGAAAAAATTGCTGAACTTTATGCTCATAAAGTGAATACGTCTGGATTTTAGTCCTTTATTATATTTATTAATACACTTTTAACAAATATAATTTTTAATAAAAAAAATATTAATTAAGACCACGGGTCTACATTTACTTCTGCGTTATCTAAGGGTCCGTTTAGTTCGCTGATTCGAGTTTTTAATTTGAGTTGAGATGTAATTTTATGTGAGAGCTTTTTATTGTAGTAAAAAAGTTAGATGTGATTGTTTGTAAGAACTTTTTACTGTAACAAAACTCAAATTCTAAACTCGAATCAACGAAATGAACGGGGCCTAAGTATACACCATTAACAAATAAAAATAAAAAAAGGAAGAAAATCATCTACACAGTAGTAGATTGCGCCGTCTGAGTGGTGTGGTGTCCAGCTTTGGTTGATGACTTATTTTTACTCTTTATTTATGGGTACAACTTTTCACCCGTTTATTTTATAAATTCAAACTACTACTTAAGTTTTTTTTCATTAAAATATTTTTTCTCACAAAATTTAAAATTTTCCGTTTGAACCTATGAACAAAACATAGCTTTCATTCGTTCAAGAGAATCTCTAGTTGAATTGTGGTGTCCCTTCTCTTTGTTAGTTGGGCTTGGCGGCGGTGGCTGTTTCACTCATTAGGAGGTAGCCTTGTTGTGGCTACCAATTTTTATCTGGTGAAATCAAATCTTGAGATCTTTTCCGGAGCCAAAGAAAAAAAAAATGTAGGCGTCAAATCATGATGTACAGAGGCATGTGATCAGTCAGCCGTTACATATAGGATTCTTTTATAGCTCAAATATATCTCAATGTGAAAGCAGATTCTAAAGAAATTTCTCATTCTGTAAAGAAAAATGGTCTAACTACACTAGGTAAAAGTGACAGCTCCAGACCGAAGAAAAAAATTAATCAAAAAAAAAAAAAGGTGCAGCCACTTGAGCATAGCTAGCATTTATTTAGAACGCAAAACGAAAATTTTGCTTGAATCCCACAACACTCTCATAACACCAATTTTTGTTTCGGCCTCTTCGAATGAGCCTCCGGTCGCCACAGATGGGTGTGGAAGCCTAGTTCCTCTCTTTACTTTGAGATCCTTAACATCCACAACACATGTCCGTAGTTCGTCCAAGTTCTTTCCGTACCATTTTCCATGCACCTGAAACACCTTTCCTTTAGCTATCTCCTCTCCAGCTGCATCCACAATAACGACCTGTTGCCCAGGCTCGCATTGAACGAATTCTGAAGGACCAAAGGCAGCTTCTGCAGGGGCCACCTCGGATGTTTCAGCTGCATTGGTTCTCCAAGTCATTGCTTGAGGATCTCTCCCCACATTTGGCTGGACAGTAGCATCTTCGCCAGGACTCTCGGGTGAGTAATTGGACCTCAGTATTGGGCCACCTTGTTTCTCCAGGAAAGAGTTCTCGGCCTCCAATGTCGGACGGACATCCTTGCCCGTGCGAGCAAGCCTGGCTTTTCTGTTGTTCAACCTGTTACAATTTCAGATCAAAGAAGCATCAACATAAACGCATTAGGATACAGTAGATGAAGTGAGTAAATCACTATGCATGATTTAGTACGTCACCATGAGGCTTCCTTACCAATTTTTCAGCTGCGAACTTGTAACTTCAGAACCCTGGAAAAATCAATGGAGGAACATCTTAGGGACGAAAATATGATACTATTTACTCACAAAGTACAAGATTCACTTGTGCTATACAAAAAAGTTTAAGGTGCAATTGACGTACATGAAAACTTAATTTATCAGCCCAGGCTTGAATTAAAGATGCATTTCGCTGCATATCAGGTTCATCTACAAGGGCCCTCTCCATCAGTTCCACCTGCTTATCATTCATTATGGTTCGCTTCCGTTTTCTCCTCTGTTTTTCGTCATGCTGAACGGTTTCAACCTTTTTTTCTTCTGCTGCGTTTCTTCCATACCCACTTTCTTTAGTAGGCGCACTTGATTTTGGAAATTCGCTGTTGTCCATTTGATCAACATTTTTTCCTCTCGTGGAACTAGTATCTGAACCACTTGTTTCAACATTTTGGGCATCTTTATCAATCTCTACCGTGCCACCAAATGCGCTCCTGCTCGATTTACCTTTGTCTTCCCTCACTGCATCACCTCCTTGAGCCGTATGTTCAATATTCTGATATTTTTGGTCCGCATCTTGAATAGCAGAATTCTCGGACATCTCCTCCTTCAAGCTACTACTTCGGTTATTAAGATTAGGAGGTTCTTTCATCAGCAAAGGTGATGAACATCCCCCCGCACTCTGAGCCTCCTAAAAGGAATCAAAAATTACTTCTTAATTCACTAGACATAAAAACAGCCACATGCCAACAAGAAACTCGAAATACCAATTTGCTAGTTATTTATAATTTAATTATATAATTAACAAGAAAAAACCAATCAACAACAAAAACTCTAGGTGGTAATTGGTTATGTTAAAAAAAAAAAAAAAAAAAAAACATCGAGTCATTTCATTTACAATAACTGACCATATAACATTCACCACTTTATTCAAACTCACACTCAGAACACCACTTCCAGAGGTTTTTCTCCCCACCCCCAACTCAAATCTTCACGACTCTCCTATGTTTGAGTTTCACTGGCAAATTATTTATTTTGAATATTCAACATTCACCTGATGATGCTCGATGAGGTTGAGTTTAGAAAACTTCTCCCACGACATTGGCTCCTCAAATTTCCTTTCCTGAATTGATCCAGCAGAGAAGTTTGAAACATTAAAATATTGCTAAAAGCAAGGAAGAGACTGAATATTTAAAAATAAAAAAAGGTTTTACTTGAACTCGGTTCTCTTCATGTTCACGTGAATTTAGTAATGATTGCAGTTGGTTAAAAAAAACCCTGCAATAAGAAGATGAACAGAAAAAGTAAGCCATATTGCACGCCAATAAAGTCAAGCACATGTAGAAATAAGCTTAAGCCCATAATGGGGCCTCGCACTATATAGGCATTTATAGGAGAATTTAAGCTCTGGTCAATGCCTTCTTAAAAAATAAAATAAAATAAATAAAATCTTTCGTCACTGCAGGTGTATAATTCTGATGAATTTGGCTTTAAGATTCCACTTGTTGCACCACGTCAGATGCACATAATGATTAGGTTATAACAATATGTTTATAACTTAAAAGGAAAGATTAGAAGTATCCACAGCATAACAACATGTTCCCAACGTCAGTTCCACATTTTACTCTAAAAAACTTTAAGCTTCAGTTTCACTTGTAAGTATATTAAATCGAAGCAAGATATCTCCACAATCACTGCATGATATAAAATATGAGGATACCTTGAAAAAATTTAGCACAAAAGTTTTGCAACAGAAACATGATTGAGAATAAAATTACCTTAATAGCTGTACATCCTCCTCATTTAAAAAGTTAGGAATTAAGGATTCTGCATGACTTAACAAGGAACCTGCACATGTAAGCTGATTGTAAGAAAGAAAATAATCTCCGCAATTCTGTTCATTAAAGAAAGTTGTTGGAAAAGATAATTACGCAAATTCCTGCAGACCGAGGCAGCTTTAGGAGCATCAGAAGTAAAAGAAAAACCAGGCAAGGCATTAGATGGATCCATTTGCAAGCACTCCATAAATTTGTTAAGAAAGAGGTTCCTCTCCTGTTCTGCAAATGAAGATAGAAATTCCTCTTAGTACATTTAAACAATAGTGTACTCTAAAAAGCTTGAGATAACAAACTGAAAGTATTAGACCAAGAGTCAACCTTCACAGATGTTGGGGACGAAACAATGGAGATTTGCAATTACTTTGACAAATAATGAAGTTCTCTGATGTGCATACGAAGCCTGCTGCAAACTATTTGAGACAACTGTAAATTCTAAGCTCGGTGCATGCTGTGGGTTGATTGATGACAATACATCCAAAACCCATCCAGCTGATGCAAATGAATCGTATTCAATGGATCCATCGTCTTCCTTTACCGGGAGTTCAGAAGAACACCAACTGGATAAAAAATCTCCATGAGGGAGCGAAAATATTGCAGTCAGCACTCTGGTCTGGAGGAACATGTAAAAGACAGAGTCACAAGTTTCTTCAAGAAAAGTATGTGATGCATCAGTATGCATCACGATGAATTCTTGTTAATCAACTATAGATTCTTTGCGCTTGAAAATATTAAACGCGGCAGTATTCTTGAAAATAATTGATACAGATATAATAATAAAAATAAGTTGAAACTGCTTTAGCAAAAATAAATACATAACACTGAAACTAGAGAGCGATAATAGTGGCTTACAAAGTATATAGTAATATAAGATCGAAAGTTAGAGTCATCTGAGAAGATATCAGCTAGACGCATTGCGTTGAGTTGCAAAAATCCCACTGGATAATTTCTTTCCGAGCCAGTGGTAAGAAGTCTGGGATCTCTACCAAGTGCAGTAGTCAACAAATCTAAGACCTGTATCATGAAAACTGAATCAATATATAGCAGGATGACAGGTAAGATGGACTTCTCACACAGTAAAGAATAACGAACTCATTAACTTTGTTTCTTCGTCTGCCAAAAGTACACGCACACACAAAAATATATGCACAACTGGTTGTCGCCAAAACGGTTTTGGCCTAGTGGACCTTCCAGAAATATTAACAAACCAAGGCAATCTGATTGGTTCGCCTACATGAAATAGCACAAGAAACTGCACACCATTTCTGACGGTATTACCACTCATTAAATATATATATATATATATATAATAGAAATCTTACCTCTGATGCAACGGACTTCGCCAAATCCAGGGTACCTGGTGAGCTTGCGACTTCATCCAGGTAAGAAATGCTTTCTGCTTCACAAAGACTCACCAACTGCAAAAAAGTAGTTATGACTGGGTACGCATGGAGGAATCAACAGGAGGGAGCTATATTGGATTCTAAAGTAGCTCGATCCTCCAGGTAACAGTAAACAGGTCACTGAGACTCACAATTGATAGCACTTTGGCTTTCAGCCTAGATACAGCAGCCACTACTCTGGGAAACTCTAAAAAATGTGGTGTAACGTTTAACCTCAGGATAGCATGCGTTGCAAACAAAATGCCACCCTTTCCACAGAGCTCCTGCATTTTATCAGAACCAGATATATTTCAACATGCATGGAGACATATAGTAAGACTTTAAACTTCAAAAGAACCCATCAGGCCATTTTGACAATACAGAGCTATTGAAGGACTTTAAACACTGTCCAATTGCAAAATCATCTTTTATGTCAAACAGAAACTTTGGTTTTTTAGAATTCATTATTCCTCCAACTAAAAACTCAATTCCTAAATACAAGTGTACTTTCGACAAAATGACATTTATCCTAGTGTAACAAAGGAACTCTTTCGTATCATAGACAGCGCCTGAAATATAATATATGTGTGTATATATATAATGTAAAGTCTGATCTAATCTTAAGAGTAAAGTGTCCTATTTAAAAACCTTATTCCTTAAGAGTCGCTCACGAAAAGTTTTTTGTTGGCACAGAGACTGAAGAAACTGTAAAGAGGCCTCGCATTGCTGGCAGAGATAATTCACTTCTTGTTCAGGACTCAAGCTTGAGTATTTGCAAAAAGAAAAATCACTATGTTGAGCTGATAGCTTGATCTCAAGAAACCTAATGGCTGCACAAACTGCTCCAAAAGCTGCATCCATAAATATCTCAACCTGGCACAAAAAGCTTTTCGATTAATAATTGCATAGAAATGCAACACGGGAAAAATAAAGAGAGAGAGAGAGAGAGAAGGCAGATGATAAGCACAACTTATTTTGAGAACATGTATTAATCATTAATTATTAGAAAAAGAAAAAAAAATAAAGAAGTGAAAACTGCAAAGCAGCCGAATTAACATGGCAGACAGTTTGGCAAATAAACTGATAGAAATTTCCAGATAAAGCTTGTTTCAGTGAGCAACAGCAAAAGTGAAGCCTTTATCTTTGTGCTGCATTTACCTTAGGATGTGCGAGTAATACATGAACAAGATCTGGCCACTGTGAAGCTATAAAACCCGTCAGCAAATGTAGACTGCATGCCACTAAAGCCGAATGCACTAGGGGAAGGGCGCCAAAATCATGGTTTTTCTGCATGGTGGAAGCAAATCTCAGTACACACAAAGAGAATGGGAAAATATAACCAAACAGTGAGAATTTGGAAGTACCTGTTCAACTCTGCCACAAACAATTAGCAAGTAGAGCACCATGTCAAGAAGCTGCTCTGATACTTTTACATCATCTAACAAAATCTGAAACAACAATTCAGAGAAAAGTATCAGAAAAGGTCATGGTCCCCTTTCATGCTACTCAAAGAAAAATCTAAACTAACAGTAAGACATAACATTTTCTCAATATGACAAAACAGAGACTGCAATCTCAAGTGCCATAACAAGCTTCAAAACACATCAGAAAGAATCACGTAATGCAGTTAAAAAGACTAAAATCAGGTGTGATACAATATGCAGGGTTGCAAATCAATCAAAGGGTATAGCTCCTACACCGTTTCAAGACATTGAACCAAAGTTGAACTATACATCTATATTTGACAGTGCTTGAAGTTCCTATAGCACAAGAAGAGAAACATAAAGAATATAACAGAAATGCGAAGAAAGCAACATTTGAAAACCCCCCCAACCTGTTCAAGCTTTGCATTCCGAGGTGCTAACTCGCAGAAGGAATGCAAGAGTCGGAGACCACATAACAAGTATCTGAACAGGGCTTCATCTCTGCCCGAGGACATAAGCACGGCAATAAGGTGCAAAGGAAGAAAGCCCACAAATTTTTCCATATCAATCTGAAACACCAAACATGACAGACAATTCAACGACGAGACATCCATCAGAATAACAATAACAACTCAATAGCAAAATAACATCAATGGAAGCAGAACAGAATGATATCCAACCTTTAATACTGAGCCTTTCTCAGTAACATGCTGAATAGTAAAATTTTCAGAGTCCCTCAATAATCTGTTAAGCTCTTGAGAGTTGAGTCGATGTAATTCCTTTACTGCTGAAATTAAGTCAACGACCTGTTCATCAAAATAAATTTAAATTCTTGCTGCTTGAGAAAAAGAGATGAACACCAGAGTAAAAACATTATAACGAAAACTAAACTAACAAAAGAATGCTAGGAGGGGACTTACTTGTGTAGCACTACTTGTCGATTCTTCCTTATTATTTCTCATTGTTCAATATCTAAGCCCAGTAAAATGAGGAAGAGAAAGGAAATAAAATGAAAAGCAGAAATAAGGATAAATAGTTGAGCAGATCAGAATAATTTGAGAAGCAAAAAGCATATTAGGAATTCCATAAGCTTCAATAATCTATATATTGAAGCGATTCCTTCTAGCTGCAAAATGAGGGCAGACAAGAAACCGAGTATGAGCTAATATCCAGTTTATAAGCAAGAATACATACTTGCACAGTATCAATTATCCACATATGTATTAACATTTACTGGGAAAGTTGCACCGACATTTGTAACTCAAATTCAAAAAGTAACAAACACGTTCCATTACCTCAAATTACCTAATTCTCTGTAACATTTCAGATGTCACTATTTGAAAAGGGTTCACAACATTCATTTTATACTAACCCAAAAGATTTGGAAATTAATAATTAAGTCGCCCAGTACATATATATACATACTATATATATATATATATACCCAATAAGGTACTTTGAAAAGTCACGTTCACCAAACTTTTCTATAATGTTAACCCTTGTTCATATACGTTTGCATGATTGTCAAAAATCCCACAAACAAAATTCACGGATATATACATATACAATCTATACATATATGTAATATATATATATATATTGCTAGAATTTAAGAATAAATTCTCAAAAAGAAAAATAAAAATAATATAGACAAACTCGACGTTCCAATAATGTAACTGAATATTTACAGGATTAATTCGAGAATAAAATAGTTAACGAGTATATATGTTATAGTAACGTGAAGAAAAAAAAATAGCGAAATGGTCAATTTAAATATAGAACGCAAGCACTGATATCAAATAGAGTAATTACACGTATAATATTCTGAGGAAATCTTGAAGAACCCACTTGAAAAACCCTAGATTTAAACCAAGAAGAAGCTAATTGAACGTTAAAACCTATAAATGCATTAACTTTCAGACACCATACAGTGCGAATACGAGCGGAGAAGCAAAAAAGAAGAACTTTCCATATTATAAACTGCAAAAATCCAGATTGAGAGGAAAGCTTACCTTCGACGAGCTTCAATGGAAGAAATAAAAATGGAAAAAAAAAACAAAGAAAAAGAAAACTGAATTCGCGGGTTTTCTTGGGAGAGTTAATAATAAGAGAGAGAGTAGGAGTGTTAATGGATTTGAGAAGTGAAAAAAGTGTTAATGAGAGGAGAGATTGATGAGGACCACCACGTCAGTTGAGTATTGTTTGTTGTTAAATATTTGCCTGTCGTTTTTTCACTTTTACAATTTCACGCTGAACGCTGATTCTCACTAACGTGCGCTGATGGGGGATTTTCGATTAACCTCCTCACCTCTAAAAATACGCCTCCCTCGTCCCTCTAAAACTTGTGTTCAACTAGAGTTGCTAAGCAGATTTCGGTCCCATTCACTTCACTTGTTCGAGTTTAGAATTTAAGTTTTGTTACAGTAAAAAGTTTTCAGAAACAGTCACATTTAACTTTTTTGTTACAGTAAAAAGCTCTCACATAAAATCGCATCTCAACTCGAATTAGCGAAGTGAACGGGCTCAGTATTGACTAAACACGACAATACACAAATGTTATTTATCGTCATCGGGTTAAATTCTCACCACCTCATAAAGAATAGGTCCGTTCCTAAGGACTCCAGTTTTATTGTCTCTATTTTCGTGTTTTAACGGCATTTATTTACTAATTATTTATCATCCCATTTAAATTTAAAAATCTAATCATATAAATAAGAACAAATTATAAAAATATTTAAACAATTCATGAGGTATTAAAATTTAATTAAAAATAATCATTGAGATAGAAAATAGAACAACAGATCTTAATTCCCACCTTTTATGACACTCCATAAACATGGTACAATATATCTATATCGTATGGGTTGTATTTGGGTTTGCGTGTTGAGCAAATTGAATCAAATACGACTCGACGTGATCCTCGAGCACGACACAACATATTTAACAAATATATTTATACATCTTTATTCCATCTATTTCTTTTTCGTTAATTTACAAAAGTCTAATACATTATAATTTAAGCCAGTGAGATTTAATGATGAAATATATTCAATTAGATTATATTCAATTTTTTGTAATAGATGTTTGATTTTTTTAACAATTTCTACACTATTTTTATATTTGTGTTTGAATCATTTTCTGGAAAAAAAAAAAGAAAATCAAATAGTACAAGTTAATATTAAAATTTGCAAATTAATTTAGCGGATCAATATGCTAATACTATTAAGTATGTGGGTTAGCACAATAAAATAAATAGTGGGTTGTGTTCGATTGGTACAATAGTATGATTATGCTTAATTAAATTTATTTTTTTACTATAATATTTTCTTTCACATAAATTTATTTGTTAACTCAAATTCTCAATTCGAACGAGTGAAATGAACAAAACCTAAAGACTTGAAGCAATGATTATGATCCATTTTTTCTTCTCCTCTCATTATGAGTTTAAGGTTTTATACCTCAAAAACCATTTTGGTTAATAGATTATGCAGCTCTTGACTTATGGTATAGGGGGAGTTAAATTGAATCCATCCTTTGATCAAAATTAGGTCTAAGTCATTTCGTTCTATTGTAAACCCCTAAATAGCTAAATTAAGGTTATACGTGAAAACGATGGGGAGAGGATATTAAATAATAATAATAATAATAACCCAATGTTACGTGTTTAATTATTATACTTTTTCAATTAATTCTATTTTTCTGTAGTTGGGAGGCCTCGTTCATTTCATCGATTCGAGTTTTCAGTTTTAGGTTTTTACAGTAAAAAGCTCTCAGAAAATGTCACATTTAACTTTTTCTGCTACAGTGAAAAGCTCTCAGGAAATGTCACATCTCAGCTCGAATTGAAAACTCGAATCCGCAAAGTGAACGAGCCAAAACGATAAAAATATTATTTATCATTGTTGTCACGAGATTTAAACTCCTTAAAGATTATCATATAATTTTGTGAGACTATATGTAAGTTTCTGACTAAAGTAAAACATAAACTTGTAATCTGTTATATATATATATATAATTGACAGTGGCATATTGCACTGCTTTTAAATAAATAATAGTGTTAAAAATCTCAATTTTTATTAAACCTTTTGATATCAACTCACTTATTCAGTACATTATATATTTTTGATGGCAGATGTGTTATATTTTTATGTTAATTGGCATAACGATTTTTTAAATATTTGTTAATAAAGAAAGACAAGTTATATATCATTTTAGTTAGTATTAAAAGGTTAATGACAAAAATTAGAACCTATAGTTATCGCGCAATCGCGCAATCGCGCAATCTTATTATTTTCAATCTATTTTAATACTTTAATGTATTATAAATAATTCAAAATTTACTCTTCCAATTAAAATTTGATGCTACTGCAGAAAAAAAGTAGAATTTCACTTTTTATACATTGATTGGGGGAATCTTTTTTTTTTTTAGAAAAAAATACTTTTTATCTGTGGATTGCCGGCGGTACATTCATTTTTCATATTTCGATGCACTTGGACTATTAAGAAAAGTAGATTGCTAACAATTTATTTTCTACCCACCATAGGATGAGAAATCGTACAGTGAAGAATAAAGGAAGTTATGATTGGAGGCGTTGCTTAAGCGACAAGTGTACACAATTCGTCCAGAGCTCAATCCCTCTGAATAAAAACTGCTATAATAACTCGTGTTTCATCTAGATTCTTTTCTAATTTGACACTGTTTTCCTTCATTCCCGAGTTACGACAGGTAATATGTTGCGTCACAGTGACAATGAAAATGTCGTGTTTTTTTTTTTTTTCTACTGAGTAACATGACTCGTGATATTAAAAATTGAAAGCATGTCACAGTATCTTTAGAAATGTCCTTACTATGAGAAAATGTTTTTTCTTTTCTTTATTTTCAGCTTAAGAAACTGTAACTTATATATATGCAAATAAAAGGGCATCGAGAGATTAAGGTGACATATCACTTCTTTTAGTTGCACTTTTTTTTTTATGGACCTGTACGTCCAAAAACTAAAATGAAAGTTCGAATCTTCAAACATATACTCTCAGAGTGAAAAATAGCCTTTACATCAAGTATCGTACCACTTCGACTTAAGACCATATCTTCTCAGTGAGACACACCATAGTTGGTAACATTAACAGTATTTTTTGAAAGCGTTTAATTCATAGATTCAGAATTATGATTCAGAATTATTCTCAATTTACTTGTGTTTTTAATGAAAGAAAATATTGTAGCGAGTCACGAATCATGATCTGAATCATAGCACAGATCCTTACTCCAAACGCACCCGAACATGTCCCGGCTCCATGTCAATCTTAATGCAACGCCGGATCTAGTACATCTACTATTATAATGACATGTTAAAAGGCATAATGTCCAAACAAGTTGCATTGAGTGGCTAGTTCCATCTCATTAAGGGTTATTTTCGAACAAGAAGTTGCATTGAGTGGCTAAATGACGCCCATAGTAGTAGAAAGAAACCAGAACCACGTATATTAATTATGTCATCATGTCCACATGACTATACATAAACAAGAGAGTCGTACACAAATAACAACCCGAAACTTTACACACACATATTTTGTGGCACGTTTAGTTTGATCGGTAATCAAACTTTTTCTAACAAATTAGTACAATAGAGCTTTGACTTTGTTCACTGATTAGACTAAGCAAAACAAGTACCATATGATCTTCCTCTTTATGTCATTTTCCAGCGAGAAGCTAGAAATTGAAAGCGAGATTATCCAACATTATGATATGAAACCGACAAAATGCAACAGAAAATCAACAACCAAACTGAATGGACTCCAATCCACCTCATTTGGAAGCAAAATATCAACCACCAACGGGGTCTTCTTTTTTTTTTTTTTCCCTCCTTCGAAATAGGTTTAAGATTCGACACACTCTATAGTCCCACTTTTAAGTCATTGTTCGGTCAATGGACTGTGTTGTGTTCGATTTATGTTGAGAATTAATCTGAATCCATGAAATAAAAATCAAAAAAGTACCTTGTATTGGCCTCATAAGACCAAACAAGTGGGCAAACATATCATTGGTATTTCATATTTTGCAACGCATAGTACCTCTTATTGTCCCTTACATGAAACACCTCAGTCCTTATCAAAACTCAACTAGTTGTTCACTTTTATATCAACTTCTGAGACGATTTTCATCCATCTCAAGAGATAAACACAGATGGAACTCAAAGACCAACGTGATAATCACAAACCCAACTTTACTAATCACGGAGTCTTGCACCACCATGCTCGACTTGAAGCAAATCCAAGCACACATGACCCGCACCGGCCTCATCGCCCACACGTTCCCCGCCAGCCGGGTCTTGGCTTTCTGCGCTCTCGCCGACGCCGGCGACATTCGATACGCGCGTCTTCTTTTCTCACAGATTGAGAACCCCAATACTTATATGTGGAACACCATGATAAGAGGCTACGCGAAAGCTCAAGTTCCTCTAATGGGGTTCTCGTTTTTTCGCCGCATGGTTTTGCAACACGTAGAAATGGACGGTCTCAGTTTTGTTTATGCGCTTAAGGCGTGCGAGAAGCTCCCAAGAATTTCGGAGGGAAATTCGGTCTGTTGTTTGATATGGAAGATGGGTTTTGATGCTGATTTGCTGGTGCGAAATGGGTTGATACGGTTTTATGCTGAACGTGGATGCTTGTTTTATGCACGCAAGATGTTTGATGAATGTTCTGTGAGGGATGTTGTTACTTGGACCACGATGATTGATGGGTACGCGAAGCAGGATTTATCGGATGAGGCTATTCAAGTATTTGAATCGATGCTGTTGAGTGATGTTCAGCCAAATGAGATCACCATGATCACGATGCTCTCAGCTTGCGGTAGCAAAGGAGATGTTCGAATGGGGAAGCGGATATATGATTATGTCATAATGGAGAATGTACATTGCAGCCTAAATTTGAGTAATGCTGCGTTGGATATGTTTGCTAAATGTGGTTGCTTGATTGAAGCAAGGGAGATTTTCGACTGTATGAAAACCAGGGATGTGTTTTCGTGGACTAGCATGGTTAACGGGTATGCTAAATGTGGCGAGCTGGATGTTGCAAGGGAGTTTTTCGACAGCATGCCTGAAAAGAACGCAGTGTCTTGGAATGCAATGATTGCAGGCTATTCTCAGAATAATCAACCGAAGGAAGCTCTGAAGTTGTTTCATGATATGATGAAAGCGGGTTTGGCTCCAACCGAGCATACTTTGGTGTGTGCGCTCTCTGCTTGTGGTCAACTGGGTTGCCTGGATTTGGGCCAGTGGATTCACCATTACCACATCAATCCGAAAGGGCCTCGACCAAGTGTGATATTAAATAATGCACTTATGGACATGTATGCTAAATGTGGGTGTATTGATACAGCTGCAGGTGTCTTTAATGAAATGTCAGAGGGGAATTTGGTTTCTTGGAACACCATGATTGCTGGATATGCTGCACATGGTTATGCCAAACAAGCTCTTAACCTCTTTGATCAAATGAAACATAAAGAACTCGAGCCTGACTGTATCACATTCGTAGCCGTCTTGTCAGCTTGTGGCCATGGTGGATTAGTTTCTGAAGGTAAAGAGCATTTCAAAAGCATGGTAAAGGACTATGGAATGGAGCCCAAGGGAGAACACTACGCGTGCATGGTGGATTTACTCGGCCGAACTGGTCGTCTTGAAGAAGCTTATGATTTGATCGGGAATATGCCGATGGTACCGAGTGAATCTGCTTGGGGCGCTCTTCTTAACGCTTCTAGGATGCATGGGAATGTAGAGCTGGCTAAGATTTCTGCTCAGAAACTTTTGGACTTGGATCCCAAAGACAGTGGCGTCTATGTATTGCTGGCAAATGCATTTGCTAATGACAAGGGATGGGCTGATGTGAGGACGGTTAGGAGCATGATGAGAGAGAGAGGGGTCAAGAAGAGTCCTGGCCGTAGCTTGATAGAGATAGAGGGTGAGTTTGAGGAATTTTTGGTTGGTGATGAATCACACCCTCAATCCAAAGAGATTTATAGAGTGTTAAATGAAATTTTGTTGTTGTCTAATTTGGAGGACTATATCCCAAATATAACGCAAACTTGTGAACAAAGCTATGTATGTGGTGTTGATTTCAATTATTATTTACATTAGGGATTTAAACTGATTTGTAGTTGGACACAACATGAAAAATTTGACATTGGATCGAATTATGATAAGGATCAAACTTATACATTTTCAACACATAGCAGACATCTAGGTGTATTTTTAGTGCAAATTACGGGTAGTATCACTTAATGAAGCCTAATTATTTAGACTTATCTGTAAATTGAGCTCAAATATTAGTTTTTCACAGAAATATATTCTTGAATACTAATTCTCTAAAAAGCTTATTCCACTACTTCATCCTATGCTTTTACTTTTTTTCTTTACTTTTATTACTATTATTGGTGAGAAGGAAAGAAAGAAGAGACATAAAGAAAAAAAGCACTAAACCTGCAATCTCGTTTTCAGACTGTTGCTCGCTTCCAATGCATCTTGTTGATTGAGCGTTAGCAATCTCGTCTTGCTCTGGGTGAGATCATTTTCTCATTAGTCTGCTTCTCCTTATCCATAAGTGCCTAAAAAAACACAGAAAAAAGTAAGAAGAATGGCAGAGTCAGAGAGAAGAAAGATAATGGGGATGAAGACAAAAAAAAGAAGGTTTTAAGTTGAGAAAGAAAGAAAGGAGAGACGGGAAAGAAGAAGAAAAGCAGTAAACCAACAATCTCGGTTTTAGACTGTTGCTCACTTGCAGTGTCATCTTCCTTTGATTGAGCATTAGCAATCTCGTCTTGCTGAGTGAGATATCATTTCCTCATTAGTCTTCTTCTCCTTATCCATGAGTGCCTAAAAAAAACGTAAAAAAAAAAGGTAAGAAGAACGACAGAGTCAAGGAAATGAAAGGTAATTGGATGAAGATAAAAAGAAGAACTTTAAGGTGAGAAGGAAAGAAAGGAGAGACTGAAAGAAGAAGAAAAGCACTAAACCTACATTCTCATTTTCAGAATGTTGCTCACTTGCAGTATTATCTTCCTTTGATTGAGCATTAGCAATCTCTTTATGCTCAGTGTGAGATATCATTTCCTCATTAGTCTGCTTCTCAGCAATCTCATCTTATTCAGGATGAGATATCATTTCCTCATTAGTCTATTTCTACTTATCCATGAGTACCTAAAAAAACACGGAAAAAAAAGAGTAAGAGGATTGACAGAGTCAAATAAAAGAAAGGTAATGGGGATGAAGATAAAAAGAAGAATTTTAAGGTGAGAAGGAAAGAAAGGAGAGACAAAAAAAAAAGGCACTAAACTTACAATTTCGTTTTCATATTGTTGCTCGCTTGCATTGTCATCTTCCTTTGATTAAGCATTAGCAATCTCATCCTGCTCTTGGGGTGATGTCATTTCCCATTAGTCTGCTTCTCCTAATTCATGAGTGCCTAAAAAAATGCAAAAAAAAAAAAAAGAAGTAAGAGGAACGACAGAGTTAAAGAGAAGAAATGTAATGTGGATGAAGATAAAAAGAAGAATTTTAAGGTGAGAAAAAAGAAAAGAGAGATAGAAAGAAGAAGAAAAACACTAAACCTACAATCTCTTTTTCAGATTGTTGCTTGCTTGCAGTGTCATCTTTCTCTTAAAATTATTCTTTTTACCTTTATCCTCGTTACCTTTCTTCTCTCTGAATCTGTCGTTCCTCTTACTTTTTTTCCTGCGTTTTTAGGCATTAGGCACTCATGGCTAAAGAGAAACAGACAAATAAGGAAATATGATATCTCACTCAGAGCAAGACGAGATTGCTAATGCTCAATTAGAGCAAGATGACACTGCAAGCGAGAATTTATCTTTATCCCCATTACCTTTCTTCTCTTTGACTCTGTCGTTCCTCTTACTTTTTTTCTGCGTTTTTTTAAGCACTCATGAATAAGGAAAAGCAGACTAATTCGGAAATGATATCTCACCAAGAGCAAGACGAGATTGCTAATGCTCAATTAGAGAAAGATGACACTGCAAACGAGTAATAGTCTGAAAACGAGATTATAGGTCTAGTGCTATTGTTATTGTTGTAAGTAACTTTAACATTACAGCATATTACTTTTTTCTTTTTAAGTAGCATTGTACTGTATAATGATATAATTACTATTTTATTGATATCAAATTTTATTACTCTCAAAATATTTCAAAAATTTTGCTACATTTAAACTCTGCAAGTGCTTATTACATTGACACTCATTGTATTTTACCAAAATAATAAAGATACCTCCTTGACCAAAAGTAATCACATCAACACCCTCGACTTTTTATAAAAATTACACGGACACCTCCCTGTGTTAATTGACCATGAGTTGACCATCAATCTTGACCCATTAAATTTTTTAAAAATATCAAGAATGCCCCTCTATTTACCAAATAATGTTTCTAATTGTACATAATGTTCAAAAAGACGTTTTTACTCTTATTAAGCATCAAAAAATGAGTTTATTTAATTTTTACACATTTATAACCACAATTATCACTCTAATAAAAAGATTTTTTTTTTTATTTTTCTTCTTCTAAAAATCCTTTGTTTTAGTAGTGTTCTTCATCCACTAAATTAGCATATTAAATTAAAAACCATTTAATACAAAAAATTAAATGCATTAACAATTTTATCATATTTTTACGTTAACTCTTTAAAAATATTACAACACATCCTAACACAATTTTTTATTAGAAAATCAAATAAAAAAGAAAGAAAGCAAATTTAATGCAATAGTTTTGACATTTCTCACTAAAATTTAACAGAATTTCAGATAAAGAGTGTTACTGTTGTTAAATTCGATCAAGAAATATCACTGTAATTTTAGTAAAACACAAAGAATATCACTATAATAAGCCCACTCTATAATTTAAATTTTGTTATATGTGTAAAGAGCCCTTTTTTTCCAAGCCAATGAAAGTTCTTGTAAATATTGCAATGTTGGATTTTTCAATATCAATTATTAGTAAATGTAATATCACATGTTTTTTACTTATTTGCTTTTTCATTCTTCATAGAGAGCAAAATAAGAAAAATATATAATTATATATTAATTGTTTGTGATAGTTACAATAATTTCTCATAGTAATTATTAACCTGACAGTGATTAAAAATAGTAAAAATACTAAGAACTCTTTTAGTTCGCTGATTCAAGTTTTTAATTTGAGTTAAAATATAACTTTATGTAAGAATTTTTTACTGTAACACAAAAGTTAGATATGACTATTTCTGAGAACTTTTTATTACAATAAAACTCGAATCGGTGAAATGAATAAGACTTAAATTATTTATAAACATTCTGTGAGTACTATATAAAAAAAATTATACGTTTATTTTTTTGAGCTAATTATACTTGTCATTATTGATATTGCTAAACTAATTTCATATATTTTTATTTTGATAATGTTTATTTCATTTTAAGTTTAAATTTTAAATTTAACTATAGTCAAAAACTCTTAAAAATATTCACATATATTTTTTTTTACTATAATAAAAAAATTCTCGTATAAAATCACAACTCAACTTACTTTTTTCCGTCAAAATCCCTTTGCCTCAAACGCCAAAACCCTAAAGCCCCAAAACCATTAACCCACAGAGCCCCATTTCTCCCCCTCTCTCGAGCTTCTCCAATGGCGGACCACCAACTCTCCAAGACCTTCCCAGTAAAACCGAAGCTGAAACCCAAACCCAGGACCCAGAAACAAACCCCGGAGTCCAAATACTGGTCCTCCTTCAAGACCCAACAGATCCCAAACGTCATCTCCTCCATAACCTCCCTCGCCTTCTCCCCCAACCCTCCCTTCCCTTTCGCCGCCGCCCACTCCGCCTCCCTTACCCTCTTCAGCTCCCAAACCTTCTCCCCCACCGCCACCATCTCCTCCTTCTCCGACGTCGTTTCCTCCGCCTCCTTCCGCTGCGACGGCCTCCTCCTCGCCGCTGCCGACCTCTCCGGCCTTGTCCAGGTCTTCGACGTCAAGACCCGCACTCCTCTCCGGAAGCTACGCTCCCACACGCGCCCCGCCCGCTTCGTCAAGTACCCGATCGCCGATAAGCTCCACCTCATCTCCGGCGGCGACGACGCGCTCGTCAAGTACTGGGATGTCGCCGGAGAGACCGTGATTTCGGAAATGCCGGGGCACAAAGACTACGTCAGGTGCGGCGATTGCTCTCCGGTGAGCTCGGAGATGTTTGCCACCGGCTCGTACGATCACACCGTGAAGCTTTGGGACGTCAGGGTTACGGATTTGAGGAGGCTGGCGATCGAGGTCAACCACGGGAGCCCGGTGGAGGACGTGATCTTCCTGCCCTCCGGCGGGCTGATCGCCACGGCGGGCGGGAATTCGGTTAAGATTTGGGATTTGATCGGAGGAGGGAAGATGATGTGTTCTATGGAAAGCCACAACAAGACCGTGACGTCGCTTTGCGTCGGAATGATGGCGAAAGACACCGGTGAGGCGTCTCGGCAATACCGGATTCTTAGCGCGGGGCTCGATGGCTACATGAAGGTTTTCGATTATTCGAAAATGAAGGTCACACATTCGATGAGGTTTCCCGCTCCGTTAATGTCCGTGGCGTTCTCACCAGATTGTGCGACTAGGGTGATCGGGACGTCGAATGGGATTATTTACGCCGGGAGGAGAAAGAGTAAGGAGAGTAAGGAAGAGGAGAGAAGAGAATTGGGGGGGTTTTCCAGTTTGGGAGCGACTGAGGATGAGCCGCGGAGGCGGGCATTGAAGCCCTCGTATTTCCGGTACTTCCAGAGAGGGCAAGGGGAGAAGCCGTCAGAGAGGGATTACTTGGTGACAAGGACGAAGGGGGTGAAGTTGGCCGAGCATGACAAGCTTTTGAAGAAGTTTAGGCACAAGCAAGCCTTGGTTTCGGTGTTGCGGTGCAAGAATCCGGCGAATGTGGTGGCGGTAATGGAGGAATTGGTGTCGAGGAAGAAGCTGTTGAAATGCGTTGAGAATTTGGATTTGGAGGAGCTCGGGGCATTGCTGGCGTTCTTGCACAAGTACTCGACTGTGCCAGCGTACTCGGCTTTGTTGATCGGGTTGACAAAGAAGGTTGTGGAGATGAGAGCTGAGGACATTGGAGCTTCTGATGAGTTGAAGAGTCATGTTAGAAACCTTAAAAGGTCTGTTGAGGAAGAGATAAGAATACAGCAGTCTTTGCAGGAAATACAGGGTATTATTTCTCCTTTGTTAAGGCTTGCTGGTAGAAGATGAAAGAAACTTGCATTGTTTTTCTTTTCTTTTTCTTTTTTATTTATAAGTGAAAATTTTCTTCTTGTTCTCTTGTACTTCTTTCCGTATTTTTCCATTTTACAGGGGAGTTTTGGCAATTTTGCTCGTTGGGTTTAAGTTTAGCGCATGTACCTTTGTATGTTCTTTGTTTTATCCATATTCGTGAGTATCTTTGGGTGGTTTCCTGATAAGAGCTGAGAAATGCGATCATTTATACTTGCTAATCTCCTTGTCAAGGATAAATTTGATTTTGGTATGCAAATTTTTCAGAAGATGAGTGAATGTGTTAATTTTGGTATACAAAGGAATATATGGTTTTTCATTTTGGTGAACCTTCACTTTTACTTTTACCAATATGAATCGAATGAGTTTGATTTCGACTTTGTTTTATTTTTGGTGAAAAAAGCTTCATTCGAAGGGTCAAAGGCCAGAGTTATTCCCTAACATTTCTCTTAACTATTAAAAACAATAATAGTCCCTTTGGATCATAGAGGGGAGACGTGAAATGTTTTTGTGTTTAAGAAAATGCCTGAATTTGGCGTCTAGTTATGACCACTAGTCATGGCTACGGCAATCTCGCTAGTCCGTGTTGTCACCTTTAAATCAAGTACAGGTGATTTCTATTTCAAACAACAATATCCACCATGCTAGAGCCTAGTATTAACAGACAACATTTCCATAAATAGAACAAAGAACAAAGAGCTAGCCATTGAGATAAAACCGCACAAACATTACAAACAGTTTGTCAACCTGATTATAGATGTATATATGCATTGCTACGAAAACAATAATTCTTACCCTGTCAAAATCCTAAAGATAGAATAGAACTAAGTCAAGGATCATCTAATTTGCATAGCCTTCTCGACCTACAAGCTATACCGCGTAATGCGTATTCTTCATATACACGAGGTGCAAACTTGATCATAATTTGAGGATCCTGCTAGAAGGTGAACACATTAGACGGGCACGAGCAATGATATACGAAATAAACAATTTGGTGCTCTGAATATTGACAAAATCCAGCTTAGGCTCAAAATGAATCAGTAAAACATAAAAATATACATGTAAAAAAAAGGTGGTTCTTCAAAACCTCAATCTAGGAACATGTACTTCATTTTTGAGTACTTGTGAAGACCTTAATTTATATAGAAGAAAATGTCAATCAAGTCGTACCTAGGAAAGAACAAATTCAATCGTACCTGATTCTAGCAGCAGTCGATTAATCTTTAGCTCTACTGGAATCTCCTGCTCTTGTCCGGCCCTTATTTTCCTCTCTTGAAACTTTCAATGACCTCAACTTGGATGACCTAATGGCATGTATTAAAGGAGTATTTTCCTCTTCGTCATCATCTTGCTTATCTTCTTCATCTTGAGCATTTTCATGGTCAGATGTGCTGATAGAATCCTCCTCTTCACTTGAACTTTGCTCATCAAAAAGTCTTCTTCCCTCTATGTTACGCCGTTTACGTGGACGTCCCCTTCGCCTAACTACCAAGCCTTCTTTTTCATCTGCCATACCCATTCTTGAAATTAAACAACTCCTCGTTCTATGATAATTACGAGGGGGGAAAGACATGAACATATTTTGCGAAAATAAGAGCGGAGTGAAATTAGCATCACTGAAGCATAATGACAAAATCAGTATTCTGTAAACTTGGCGAGAAATAAGGAACGTGGTTTAGTTGGCTATCTTTGACCAAAAATAGAACATGGGAAACACCGAGCCATTGAAAGTATTCAGATAATAATAATAATAATAATAATAACAACCTCGGGAAGTAGCGAGCAGAGTAGAGGAACATAACAAGTGATCGCTACGTAGCACAAAGGAAGATTAGCAAAGAAAAGAAGTTCAAAATTACCTTGACCTTCATTCTTTGCATACTTTTCACGTAAACTATCAATAAACGTGTAATAGGGGCGCCAGCCACTGGGATCTTCATCTGTATTTACATTCTCCGTTCGTTTTTCAACATCCTTCATGCTATACATGAGGAAAATTTCAAATTGAAGCGCTACATTTATGAAAGTATATTTTGGAATGCTTTTTAAAAGACTTAGAAAATAGAGATGCTTACATGTCCAGGATATCAGGTGTAGGAAGTCTGGATACAAAATGGAGCACAGAACCTTCAAGAAAAGACAATTGCTTTGGAGCATCTACAAAAGCATGTTCAATTCCATCCTTGACAATTTTTAAAATATCTGCTTTATGCTTGTTCCGAGCAGCACCAACAAATGTTCCAGATAACCGGGCAGAAAGTTCTTTACATTCTAGAAACAACTTGGTCGCTAAAGATTCATCATCACTTCTAGTAAGTTCAAGCATATGGCGATGATACGCCTGTTGAAATCCAAAGCCAAACTTTATTTATTTAATCTATTTTCATCTTTTCAACAAAAAGTGTCAATAAAAGAGAGACATTTCGGGTTGGAGAGATCACCCTGAGAAAAACAATCAAGAATCTACCTTTTTCAAAGCGTCGAGAAAAATTTTGGAGAGATTGTCATCTCTTTTTCTAAGAACACTGATCAGATTCTTAATGGTCTCTGCGACACTTGCTCCATGCATCACATAATGAGAAATGATTTCTGGGCCAAGATACTCCTGCATAGAATGTCGCTTATTGCAGTTTTAGATAAACGTCAAATAAAAATTGAGCAAGATGACCTTAATAAGACGTTTCAGCTTTTAATTTTTTCCGTTTCTAATCAGAATTAAAATGCTCCAATAGAAACCACAAGTTAAAAGATCACAGTTATGTATCCTAGACCACCTCTCCAACCGTTTTACAAATCGAGCTGATGAAAACACACTTAAAAGAGTTCCTTTCTTCCTCGTTTAAAGTGGGAAGTTTATTACATTTCAATACCAAATATTGTAGATTCACCTTAGGGACCGTATCATCAGCAACCAACTTTGCGGCAGCAACAATGACGACATCTCTGTTTGTCTCCTCAATATACTCTTTGTTAGCATCTTCATCTTCTATCTCATCTGTGAAAAAGTAATTGAGATATCTTAAAAGCACAAAGCGAAGCAACATGAAGTGGTAAAATCTGTTTTCAAATCCCAATAAAAGCATAAACTTTAAGGACAGAGCCAAAGATTTATAGAACGTGAACAAGGAGAGGTAGTAGATACGACTACTGACTCACAAAGGTAACCTCAATTGTTAAAAGGTCATTTCCACAGCATGCCTCAAGGCGAGGGGAATTTTTTTAGCCTTGAGGATTAAGCCTCAGCTTCAAAACATGAAGCTTACAACTCTCAATATTGAGCCCAATACGAAGGGGAATAAGGAAACATCTTAAGCCTCACTGCGTGTAGGCTTCCCCGTTGCATGCGGGTTTTATTGGGGCATGTGAGAAGGTTTGCAAGTGGGTTTTCATCGAGTTATACTGCAAGTTTGTTTCCTATTATAATGAAATACTTTTGTTGAAGCGTGTATGTACTTGTAGACGTATATATGAAGTATTTGACCTGAAATATTAAGCTGTTGCTCACAAAGTCCCCAAAATCTCTGGACAATTGACTCATCTGGAAAATATCCCAATCTTTCCAGCTGTGTGGAAACAAAAGTTGTCCTTCTGAACAGACACCATGCCTCTGCAAGTATGGTGCAAACCTGGAGTACAAAATATGCATGATTATACCATATTTGCAACATTATAAAACTCATTTTATTACATTTCAAAGAATAGCTTGCATTCATACATCACGGCATCACGGTAAAAAAACGTTTACCCTGGAGGCTAGTTGGTTCCCAAGGTTAGCAGCTCCCTCCATTTGAGGACTTTTAAGAAAGTACTGTAGTTGCTCAAACAAAGTGTTACGTTTGGATAATAAAGAAGACAACGATGCCTCAGAGACAGTCTCACTACTTATAACTGAGTGTACAGACCAAGCCAAATGCAAATATATGTTAAGTAGCAGAAAACTGACAACCTGAATAAACATAAACGACAAATTAATCAGTAACTGAGAGGTGCAAAAATGGAACGGTGCAATTTGTGATTCTCAACTACATTCTACACACCTCGTCTTCCATGTTTCTAAAATTCTGAAGAGCCTTGACTAGATCTTCATATATGGTCTCATTTGGAACAGCCCTCAACAGCTGAAGTTCATACAACCGTTTCAAATTTACAAGAAGGGAATACTCATCACCACCATCCTGCAATTTTAAACTCATTAGTTTCATTGATCGTCTACTTTAGTGATTGTGTGTGCGTGTGCATGCTGCTGTGGGTCAGGGAACGGGGACCATTGTTGATGCATACCGCTACTTCTTTCATAGCAGATTTAAGCTTGGCAACAAGCTCATCTTCAACTTCCTTCAATTTAGAACGGGCAAAATCTTGTAGCTCCCCTTGACTCTCCACAGAACAAAAGTTAATAGCTTGTACACAAGATCTTAGAGCGTCCTTCTCACCATGTTTGAAAAATGCCTCTTTTATGAGCTGAAGAACATTCTTAAAATTCTGAAAAGATCATAATGTAAGTACCTTATGCTTTGAAATTTAAAATTAAAAAAAATATAAAACAAAAACTTATGTGAAAACAACAAGGAAAAGACAATCAGGTGCGTTCTTCTTACCTGTTCTTGCCTCTTCAGAGAATAAAGTTCAAGATTCATATGCAAAATGATTTCAACTAGTGATGGTACTTTTGCTTTGTCAGCCATGAACTTGCGTAGAAGTAATGGGTAGTTCTTCATCATGGCAATACTAATGTCCCTTTTGTAATTTTCAAATGCTTCCTGATTAATTATCAGGACAAAAAGTTATTATAATTTCAATGTAAACCATAAACAGGCAATAAAAACAATACTAAAGATGAAATATCACTAACCAGAACAAGTACCAAGAAAATGACAGCAAATAAAGTCAATTCTCTTATTTAATTTTATGAAACCACAACAGACATCTAAGAAACTAGATAACATATAAATTCCTCGGAAAATGAAAGCATTATAGGACTTTAAGGCAATTAATAGATATCAAAGATCATTATAATTGAAAAAGTGGAACAAAATTATTTTAAAAAGAATGTAACAAATAAGAAACTGAGAAAATACGCACTTTCTGAGCTTTATTGTAATACTGCTTTCGATTATCAGTTGCAGGAACTATTCTCTCTCCAACAGCCTTTTTGGCAGATTGACTGAGAAGTCGTACCAAGTTAGTGGCATCCTCATCAGTAAGCTCAACTGAAGGGTTCTCGTCCAAAAGCATAGAGATAATGCACTTCCAGTCCTGCAAGGATGAACTACAATTCTAAGAAACAACAACTAACATAAAAGTAAATTATCAGTCGGTATTCTTTCAAGATTCTTCAGTCCTAAAGTTGATCCAACTGTTAAGAGATTTTCAGATTCCAAATAATACTTGTACTTAGGTAAAGTTGATATAGACAAACCCTAGATTTTCCCATTTCTCTCAACCATCAGTTGCTTAGGTCACATAATACCTTCTGCTCCCTAATATCTCCATCAATACCTCCATTGACGTTATATCTCAAAACAGCTTCTTTAGGGTTTAGTATTTGTTACATTCACAAAAACTTGTTAGCAGCAATAACTTCAATGCACTTATAAGTATAACGTAAACGTATATCTAAAATTTGCAGAAACTTGTTTTGGGTCAATCCTTTTCTGGTTACTTAGGTCTTATCCAACCATAATCCGGTGGAAACTTCATTCCAAAAATATCTCCAAGTTCAAGGACCTAGTGCAATGATGCTAGTAGTTTGATATGACAACACTCATTTCCTGTGGTCTGACCTCCTTTCTACCGCTATTCTAAAGCTAATACCTTCATAGCCTTCATGTACTCCCAAACATCATCAATCACATAGATGATCAGAATTGGGTCCGTGGAGAATTCTCTTAGTATCTGTAACATTCTGCCAAGATGAACCTCAGAGAAATCGCTTCCTTCACCTGGAAAGAATATTGTTTTGAGCAACGTTATTGTATAGATAGGAAGACAATCACGAGTTTGGTTGACAGAATACAGTCCAAGTGATAATTAAACCTTTGGCACTGGATTGGGAGCTATTGAACTTTTGTGCAATCAAGTGATCATACACTAATTCCCCTATAGCATGCCTGATCTCTGCTGGTTCGTCAATAAGCAAATCATATAGCGGGCCCAAGGCGTCATCAGGCAGAAGCTGATGTCTGCAGCATACCAATAGGCAAATGCACAAACTTAAATGAACATTGCATAAACTCACAGGAATCATTAGTTTATCACATGAATAAAAGGTTTGGAATCACTTTAATGTATTGCTTAAATAATGAAAAGGTTTAAAGCAAGCAGTTACCTTAGTAGTTGCTTTACAAGGCCTATCGCACAAACAGCTACAGGAATGTCATTGTCATCAGCAAGCTCAATCATCCGATTGGAAAATCTTTCCGTGAATAGACCAAGAGTTGGCACATTATCGTCCGCCTCATACAGATTTTGCAACGCAAGGACAGAAGCTTTCCTAACACCAGCACTCTTGTGATACAGCAGAAGGTAAATGGGAAGTTAGCATTGCGCAGCACATAATCAGCAATACAGAATAGGTTCATGATTCATCAAAAGTTTAAAACTTACTTTATCATTCAGCGTCCAACCTAAGTACTTTAGGTACAAATCCTGCAAGAACAGAGATGGGTATGACAAAATCCACGCACCCAAAGACTCTATGCAAGACATCCGAATATTTGGATCAATGTCTCGATAACGATGCATAAATAACCTTCAAAAGAGAAACATTATTTTAGTTTAGAAATTTACAGAACGGGACTGCAGATCTGGAAATCTATCAAATCATACTCATTATCATTTTTATTTGCGTTTTCTGTATTTTCAAGTTGGAAATTCCTACCCAGTGAAGATTTTGCGCATCATCTCCTCCAACATAGTAATCTTTTCATGAGTTGCTGAAAACCTTTTGTTTAGTGACTCCACACGAGGCCCTTCAACTCTTTTCTTTGTTTCAGCATCTAACTGTCTACGAGTTGTTTCCCGTTGAGCACCAAGCACTTTTGCAACAGCTATGAAGGATGTAACAAGTTGGAGTCCCATAAATGAAGCAACTTGACGGTAGACTCTTGGAGGAGTGCTGTGTAGCATGGAAATAAGGCAAGTTCAACCAGAACCCAGGGTAAGTTTGGTGAAAGGTTCAGCTTTGAACTAAAATTTGCAAGTATTTGTATACTGACCATGACAGAGCAATAATATAGTCCATGCACTTGTCAAACAGAACCTGATCAAACAGAGGGCCATGTTGACACTCACGAACCAGTGTGTCCCAGAATGATTGAAGATTATCTTTAAAATTCTTAAATTCCTTCTTTTTTGAACTTTGGTAATCTTCAACTTCGCCCTAACCAGGAGTCAAGTCAAAACTTTGGGTACAAAATCTCGGTAATTCTGTTAGAAAATTTAGAGAAGGTTCTAGAATGTTGACAAAAGACATAAGATGAAGATGAGCTTAAATAATAACAGAAATAGCATAGAAGGATACTCTTCTAGCAAGATCAACAAGTGCAACCACAACATCGTCAACATCAATTTCATCTAGAAACTCTCCTTTGAGATAATACTTGGCGCCACATGCCTGTAAACTCATCTCATCAGTTATGAACTCAAATTTGAAAGTTAAAAAAAAATAAATCTATGAAGACTTTTTTTTGTTTGACAAGTAGGTATTTAACTATTTACTTCTCTCGTTCCTTTTTTTTTTTTTTTGGCCCCTTTAAAGACCTATCTTTGATCCCTGAGCAATTAAATAGAAAATGTGTAAGCCAATACTTATTTACCATTCCAGTTGAGAAATTTCGTGGATTTTCCATATTACCTCAAAGAGCATAGTCAAGAGTTCAACCATTGCAGGTTTTGGATCGTTTTCATATTGCTCGACCCAAAGCTTGACTGCTTGATGAATGTATTTGCCATTACCTTTAATGACCTCTGCATAAGAATTAATACAACAAAATAAATGTTCGTCAATATCTAGATGTGTAAGTCCTCACAAACCACAACTCAGACGGGAAAAAAAGCGTTCAAAAACGTTTAAGAAGTTGAAGCTCGGATTAAATAACATAAATAAAGGACTCAGACCCAATAATTTAAAATAAGTCGTACGATGTTAATAGCTTCGTTCAAAAGCATCATTTTTCTGAGCAGAATGTCGAAACTCTAACATACGGGATCTAGCAAGAAGGTTACTATACACTGTCACTGGAGTAAAAACAAATAAAAAAGTAAGTTGAAATTTAAAATTTAAGAATAAATAAAATACACCCGAAATTGGAAAAGCAAAAAATTAAGATCGAAAAGCAGATAATCAACGATGATTTACTCTCGCATTGTTACAATACGCATAATTTCAAGTGAAAAGTAATCACTCTAAACTCCAATCTAAAACCTAAACCTGTAATTTAAGGAAACATAAAATCTAGGGTTCAGGGAAATCAGCTAACCAATTAAGGTCTGCTTGGTAGATTTGTGATTCCCGCCGGAGGTCCCTCCCTGAGGGCGACCTCGCTTAGCTCTGGGACGAGTCTCTTCGAAATCATCAGGCGAACTCTCGCGGTCAGCCTGGTTACTTCCATCGCTGTTCTCTCCACCAGTAGTACCGTTCCCCTTTTCCATTTGGTTCTCGGTCCCTTGAGTCTGAACCCTAGCTCTTTTCTGCACAACAAAACACCAAAATTAGGTCAAAATTACATCTAATTTCACTGCTAAGCGCGGAGAGAGAGAGGCAGAGATCTTAAACTCACGGAGCGACGGGTCGATGTTTCGGTCGTTGGAGCTTGGTCCTCCATAACCTGGTAATTGTTGAGCACAGCGATCGATATCTCGCCCCGATTACGGAGATGCAGAGAGAGATTTGCCCTAGACCGTTAGAGAGAGAGAGAGAGAGAGAGAGGTAGAAGGAGGAGAGTAAGCGGGAGAAGAAGAGAGAAACTCCCGCCAAAAAAAGGAAATGATAAATTCAGAAGCTAATGGACATGGGGACGGATCCTCTGCGGATTTTAGTTCCCAATTTCTTTCCATTTTCGGGCCGAACGTGACTTATTTTCGAAATTTTAGGAGAATTGCTCCTTATTTTTACCGTTGATTAATATCTTTTTAAATAATATAATAATTTAAAAAATATTAATTAAAAATTAAAAATATATTTATTTTTTATTCGTCTTGATTTTGAAAGATGATTCTTAGTTTTTTAAAAATTTACTCTAAAAAAATTTATTCTTTTTCCTCTAACGAACTAGGCTAGAAAGATATCGACTAGGCTAATACTAATTCCTACACATTCGGTCAGTTAAACCATTAGAGGTAAGTTTTTGTTCCTTATTTTTATCATTAATTAATATTTTTTAATTAATATAATAATTTAAAAATATCAATTAAAAAATAAGAATACACTCTAAAAAATATATATATTTATCTCTTTTTTTAATTTTGATTTTTTTTAGCTGCCCAACAAACTATTCTTTTCCAAAAAATAAAAAATAAGAAACGATATTATTGTTGCTTTTTTCTTTAATATTCTTGATGGGCAATAATATTTTTGTTGCTAAGCTGTTGTCGTTTTTTTTTTTAAAACAGGGTTGTCTTTCTTTCAGGATTATATATATATATATATATATGATTAGCAAAACACAATTATATATATATAGGACTTTGTTACGCTAGCAAAAGTAATGGGAGATTTTTCTGACGGACGGGAAAAAATAAACTATTGCTAAAGAATTTTTTCAAATGTATTAAAAATGGTGAATCGTGCTTATTTTTTAATTTAATATAATTTTAATCAAATTTAACAGTCTGTAACAAATACACAAAAAAAAAAAAACTCAAAATAATATTCGTGTAATTATTTGCAAAAGAATTGCTATTATCTACTTAAGTGATTTTCACAATCAAATCATTGTTACTCTCTCCATTCATTTTTTAAAAAACTAATAAATGAGCGACTGTTGTTAATTAATAGTTAGTCGTGTTTAGTAAACAAAACTAATTATAGATTAATCAAATTGTCCATGTTAATTAAATAAACACACACATGGCACTTGCAACAAGCGAGTTTGATAATATGGTTAAGTTATATTATCGATTTTAAATATTTGGTTTTTTATTTATTTACTTGTTATACTAGCCTAAGAGTTACACGATTAAAACTCTCTTAAAAGTTGGGGTTGATAAGAGAGTCGCAAACAAACTCCTTAAACACCGCTCAAGATTGGACTCTAAAAGCCACATCAAACACTATTCATTTAGAGCTTTATTTTGTTGAGTCCTTTATAAATCCGCAAACTCATTGGACAAACTCACACATTTCTTAAAGTTTAAATATGCTCTTGCATTATTATGTCTCAATTAAAAGAAAGCGTCTCTAACAGGACAACACGCCATAAGCACTTGAATTTAGGACATTTTGCTTTGTTATTGACTAATTGAAAATTGTAAATGTTAAAAAAGGACGCAATCAAGACTATAAAACATCATCTAGGACCAAAACTCAAAAAATTAACCCTAAGCACTATCCATTCAGGCCTCACTTCAAGCAGCATTTACAAATACGTGGGTGCACTTTTCTGAGACCCAAACCGCTTACTGCAAGTTCAAATATGTTCATTCGATCTCAAAAAAGGGAAACTATTGGAGAGTTAAAATAATTTATTTTTGTTAAGTGAGCGAAATTCCATGTTTCATAGACAAATTACAAGATTTTGATCGTACAAGAGTTGACAGATAACAATTATCAATTGAACTTTGTTCCAACAATAATAAGAGGGACCTCTATGAAATAGGTTTGAAAAAAAAATAAAAATAAAACATTATAGTAAAAAAGTCAAATTGTGATTTAAACTTATGGAAATAACAGGGCTAAGAGAATAAAGTTCAGAAATTAATTTATCAGCGACAACTATTAATGAGCATGGTCCTCCATTGATACTCTTTTTTTTCAACAATTAATACTTGGTACCAGTAAAAAAAGATATGCTACGAAGTTATTTAAAAAAACAAACAAATGAAGACGGGACATATTCTAAATTAAGACTCGTTTAGTTCATGAGTTTAAGTCAATAATTTTAATTATGAATTCAAATTTTGTGAAAAAAACTCATTAATAAAAACTTTTTTATTCAAATTTTTTGTGAGAAAATAGAATCAAAATTATAATTCAAGTTAGCGAACCAAACAATTCTTTAATCTTGCAGCATGTTTAGCAATTTAAAAAGATATAAAAAGAACGCACAAAAAAATTTATAATTTTTTTTTCCTTAAAAAAAAAAGAAGAAGAAGAAGAAATAGGGCGAAAAATCAACTGTCGTTTGAAAAATGTCACACATGGTCATCTAGTTTTCACGAAAATGGAAACAGCAGTCGGCCATCTCCAGCACTTTGGAGACACAAAAAAACGGAAGCTTCTCGCAAGTTTTTTTTTTTTTCTTTTCTCAAGCAAGACATACATGAAAGTGGTATGACAACTTTTTAAGTATTGTCATGTTTCAGATAATTTTATTTACAAGAAAATAAAATCCAGCTATAATATAAATAAATATTATGTGCAACATAATGCTTGAATTTTGAGTCACAGATCTCAGAGGTTCCATTTGCATCAACGCCTTCCATAACTTAGAACTTTCCAATGTATAACAAGCCACATTTGCTCGAATCAAAATCAAGCATATCGCTTGCCTACAATCATCCTAAAGATAAATATGCAATCAAGAGTAACATCAAGCATTGGCCAAGGACTCGATTAATATTTTGTAGCCCTCTGGTACTTCTGTTTGTTTGTGCACACAGTCTGTTAAAGCAGGAACATCAGCCCCAAGGTCCAGAAACCTGGCCAGCAACAGCAGCAAATGGAAATCCGAAATTCGCTTCACAAATGGAAGATTCTTCGCACGGTCCAAATGACTTTTTAGTGCCTTCATTGTTACTCCGGTATTACGGTTCTCTATGGGAAATGTTGATGAAAGGGGGCCCTGTAATTGTCATACAAGATCATGTTAGCAAGAGAGAGATCGGTGATATTCTTTAGAGTACAGAAACAAAAGTGAAATAGGTAGCAGAGATATGCTTAAATACATGCAAAACATAGTAAATAGAATAACCACGCAGCAAGGCGATATTAACAATTCTATGAAAGATTTGAAGAACAAAACACAAGCAACTAATGGCTACAAATCATATCATGCTATTCAGTGAACATCGAATAATGAGTGGCTTGGAACAGCGAGTGCCCTATTCTAGCAAGTCTGTTCGAGACAGTAACTTTGTGTATGGGAATGTTATCATCCCTCCTCTTCCCTATGGAATCAAATCAACAACTGCAAGATAAGTGGAACTTCAGACAAACGTTAAGCAAGAACACATCCTTTTCAAAGTGGATTCAAGGACATAAGTGATTTTAACAGATTACCAACATCCTCTAAGGCTTTAAGCAACGCTGAAACCTAAATCCTCGAAGCAACAATATCCTTTAAGGCAGCATTTAAAACTCAAGTATCCCCCAATTTCTGCCTTTCCCCTTGGGGGAGGCCAGCCACTAAACAATGTCTACCCAATAAGGATGCTAGATGGACAATTAGACATGATTCTATCACTGTAAAACTTGAAAGTAAACATGTCAGAAGGCAAACATAAATGCCACTGGAGTTAAGACTGGGCACCAGAAACTTTTAAACAGGAGCGCTAGGTAAGAGTGCAAATCGGATGGCTCAACAGCCCTCCTATGACAAACCCCATTCTAATGACTACCGTATCATTTGAAACCATCTACTGTGCCTAAAATCACCATCCAACTAACTTTTGCAGGATAAATACCAAGTAAATTAGAATTAAATGTACATACATAACCATCCTTAAAGATTCTAATAAATGGAAGGCAGACCCTGAAGGATGTGAGAATGAGAGAGCTATAAGCCTATAACATACGGCCCCAAGTTTCAAATTCTCCTATAACTCTAAACGTGCTAGTCCTCAATCCTAGACCAAAATTAAGCATCAATAAATATTCATAGAACAGAGGTCGTGCAAGCATTATTTTCCAACTTTAGAAACCACCAAGAATCTCACAATTCACAAATACATATGTGCAACACTACCAATGGTGACATTAAATATCCACTGTCTCACTCCCAGCTAGATCACAAGCACTAAAGCATTCTGCATTACTTATTAACACCCTGCCTAGAAACTTAATCATCCAAACTAGAGATATAAAGATTAAAAATTCACAAACAAAATATAGGAATAGAACAACAATATTCTCAGAAACAATATTCTCAGAAAACACACCAAAGAACTCGAATTGAATAATTTTAAGGTGGATTAAGAGAGAGAGAAGATAACCATACCTGGTGATCCAATATCTTAACCACCACCAAGAAAAAATCATTGTCCACTTCTTTAGTATCCTTGACCCCAACAACAACATCGTTCTTCATCTTTGACAACTTGGGATCATCATCTTCCCCAATCTCCGTCACAAACCACCCTTCCTTAAACAACCTAATGCACATATCGCTCATCTGAAACGCCTCGAAGTGGACGTCGGCAGAGCCGTCGTCGTTCACCTCCAGCTTGACCACCGCCGTGACCCACTCCTTGAGGCCGCTCTCGGCGTGAAGCTCCGCCGCCTGGAGAACCTCCCTGTTCGACAAAGTGTAATCTTTCTTGTCCTGGCTTATCGTCTGCGTGAAAATAAACCCTACCTTCCTCATCCCCAACCCTAGCGCGATCGCCTCGACAAGCTTCTCCTCGTCCGGATCTCTGAAGAGCAACAAATTCTCCTCCGTCCCTTGCTGCGGCGGCTCGTATATGAAATCCACCTCCACTTTTCCCTCCTCCGACACCGTCCCGTACATGAATCCGCCGCGCTTGACGGCGAAGGCGAGAGCTTCGTTGACGTAGTGCTGGAACGCGTTGGCGCAGTCGCGATCGAAGGAGACGGACTCGCAGTGAGAGGTCTCCTGGCGCGAGACCCTCGTCTGCTTGGCGATGAGGTCGTCCATGGTCATCTTGCGGCCGAAGGATCCAGCCGGGTGGAAGGCCGGGCAGCCGGCGACGGTGCGCTCGCCGTCGTAGGCGAGGAAGACGATGGAGCCGTGGGAGAGATTGAGGGAAGAGAGAGTGGCGTTGGGGTCGGCCATGTCGGCAAAGCGAGAGAAATCACCGGCGGTCTTGGCAAGGAGGAGGTTCTGGTTGGTGGAGAGAGTCTGATTGTGGAAGGGGATTTGGAGCTGGGACTGGATTAGGGCTTTGAGCTGGGCGACTGTGGCGTGGGGATTGTCGACGGTGACTCTCTCCAGGCCGTCTCTGCTGCGAATTCTGAGCATCATCTTTGCTTTGATTTCCAATCAATGGCGGTTGGCGGGCGTTGTTTCTGATGCAAATTAAGAGAGAGAAAGAGGAGAGAGAGAGAGATTTGGGAATTTACAGAACTTGAGAATTGAGGAAGAGAGGGGAAATATATAGGTGAGCGAGAAAGAATGAAAGGAGAAGAGAATTCCCTGTCCCTGGGGAAGTAGTAGCTTGTGATGGAAGTTTGGATTGGACTACGAAGACGACTTTGCGTTGGCGGTGGGGTTATTCGGGAACCGGGACTCGGGAGTTTCTTCAGGACTCGGGGGCTCTGACGTGTTTTGGGCCGAACTTTGCGTTCGGTGATGGACTTGGATTGGGCTAGGATGAAATTGGACTGGTTTCGGGCCAAATTATGGCCTTTAATAGGACATTGTTGGATTGGGCTCTCACCCTCCACGGAAATCGTACTATTTAAAATAAAAGAAATAGTAAAAAATAGGCCGATATGAAAAGCTTAAGAAAGTATATATGCCAACTTTTAGTTATAAAAATTAATAGGTCATAATTTGTTAAATTATGGTTCATAATCAGATAAGTTATAGATAAACTTGTCAAGTTATGGTTCATAGCCAGACAAGTTAGGGACAAAAACCGTGAATTATTGACAATAACTTATCAAGTTATGGTTCATAACCAGACAAATTATAGACGAAAACAGTAATTTAGCCTATTTATTAACTTATATAAACTATTAGCCTATTAATTTTAATTTATCTCAAGTCTTCGTCTATTTCTCTCTTTCTCCCTAAAATAAATAGTAGTTTATCATGTAAATATTTTATTTATGACTGATAAAATAATTTACATGATTAAAAACTTTGTTTATGTGGAAAAAAATATTTTAACAGTCGTAAAAATAAAATTTACATAAAAAAAATATTTTTACTAATCGTAAATGAAACATTTACTGGTAGACTGTTATTTTTTAAATAATTTTTAAATATGTTATTTATTTAATTTTATAAATATACTATTTACTACCTCCTTCAAAACATTTTTGGGAGTTAAATTACATGTATACCCAATATGCAGGTGACGAAAACAAAAATGTAAACAAATTGTGATATTTACACATAAGTCTATAAAATAATATGTAATAACATTTCTATCCTTTTTTAACCAGCATTAAAATTAATTATACAAATTTATAATCGCCCACAAAGGGATCAAAATTAGTTACACCACAAGACTTTAAGAGTCCGTTTAGTTTATGGATTAGAATCATGTGATTAGAATCATTTTTTATTTACGTGTATTTTTTATGAGAGAAAATACTGTAGCGAACCACGAATCATGATTCGAATCAGAGAATGAATCCCTCTACCAAACATCACCTAAGACTGTAGCCAACATACAGATGAAAAAACCCAAAAAATCTTGATCGTCGGAAGTTAAACACGTTAAAAACAACATTCTGAATTAAGAGCTCCATTTTCCATCCCACACTTAATCCATGACGGTAGAAGCTTCTTGTCACACACCGCCACCACTCGTAAAAAGCCCTTAACTAAACAAGTACGGAGACCAAATTTCAGGATCGAAAACGCCGGTGACATGTTCAAAGAATGCCCCAGAGCTCCAGTCACCCCTTTCTCTTTAGACCTTTCAATCTTGCTCTCTTCTTTCTCTAGGGCGGTCACAAACTCCCAACAATTCCTATCTACCTTGTCTGTAGTCATGTTTGTCTTAAAAAGATAATTGATATAAGAAAATGCTTAAAATAAAACAATTATGATAATGAGTCAATACAAGTAATGAGCTTCTGACTGTAGAAATTTAGGCGAACTCTCGCCAAACTTTTGGTTTATCAAACTGTCTATTGTTTCATATATGGTTTAGAAAATGAGTGGGACTAGAAAATGAAAGGATTATGAGTGGTCATGACATTTTAGGCTTGCGTAAACACGTCACAGGTCACATGTGTGATGAGATCCATACTCTTCCATATTTACTGCCAGATTTCGTGCAAGATAAAAATAAACAAAACTCAATTAAATTAGTTTTTCCAAGAGAGATAACAAAAATAAAAATAAAAATAAAAAGTTGTTTAGTCCACATTAAGTTAATACGTACAATTACTTAGGTCTCGTTCACTTCGCGAATTTGAGTTTTCAATTCGAGTTGAGACGTGACATTTTATGAGAACTTTTTACTGTAGCAGAAAAAGTTAGATGTCACATTTTTTGAGAGATTTTTACTGTAAAAATTTAAAACTAAAAACTCGAATCCGTAAAATGAACGAGACCTTAGTAAAACGGAGCTCCTTCTCCTCCTCCTCTTTGACATCCATTTTGAAGTGAAGTCCTCTAACATGCTCAAGCTTAGCTCGAGTATTCACTTCATATTGGTTTGGAAAAAAATAAATAAATAATTTGGTTTTTCAATTTTTGTTGTTTCGCCTGACGTAGTTTTTTATGCTTAATTGAAGAGATCCACTGGATTATAAAAGATAATGGATCGGATTGGTCTCTGTCAACGAGGCCACCAACCCATTACATGAAAAGGAACATATAGGCCCACTTCCATAATCCATTGAAAGGAATGCTAGGCGATTGACAGTTCTTCCCCGCATTCATTAATTTCAGACCTAAAATGCCAATAAGTCAAGAAAAAATTCGGAGTCGCAATCATGTCTTTAATGAAACACAACAAAAGAATTGTAACAAAAAAAGAAATAAAAAATAATAATTACATGCGCGCGCCCACAAAAAAGAAGAAAAAAATGCAATAAGAACCATAAAATGCACTTTGGTATTCTGTCTATTTATATTTATCTGCCAACACATGCAATTTGGTATTCTCCTATAAGAAAGTTTCATTTCCATTGGAGTACATATATATTCAACGAGATTCAATAATAAAAACAAGGGATAATCTCTTATAGTAAAATATCTTGTTGATACCTTATGTTTTTATTAATATTAAAATGACATTTTCATTTTTAAAAAAATATTTTTAGTATCTTAAAATCGATTTTTGAGACATAAAATGTTAAAATTGGCTTTTTTAACAATTAAAAATAAATTAATAACTTTAAAAATTTTTCTTAAAAATATTTTAATTGTTTAATTTTTAAATGTTTTAAAGTATTTTCATATTTTTTTAAATTACTAATTTATTATTAATCTGTGAACAGTGTAGAATTGACATTATTCTTAGAACTTGAATACACTGTAACAATAGAACTTGTGTTATAACTTGAATTGTGAAAAAAACAAAGTGAACCAAACGGGCCCGTATAGTACATGCATCATTCTTCTTTTTTCTTTTTACAAATAAAATTATTTTAATATCCTTTATTATAATGAAATATCTCATTGGTATTCTATATTTTCTCTCAAGTTACTTTTTTATTACTAGTTTAACTTGAGCTGTGAAACAAATACCTTGGAGTGATGAGGGAGAGAAAGGTATTGCTTACAAAAGAGAGCCGTGAAGAAGAAGAAGAAGGAGAGAGAGGAAAAAAAAAAAGACCGACTAAATGCGGCGGGGATGCAAACATGAAACAACCAAAAATTTCATCTACACTGTAAAATATATATATATATATATATATATTGGAAAAAATAGAGTAAATGATCTATAACATTATTCCTACCCAAATATACTCCCATGAAATTATTATATGTTATAGATAAATAGAACTGCTAAGAAAAAAACCTTTTTGCATGGCTTATGCAAATATATATTTTTTTAAAAGAAAATTAAATTACTAAAATCTCCAACGGCTACTGAACCGTACGTGAAGAAAATGGTAAAAGTTAAAGAGAAGTGTGAGGTGACACTGTAAAATCTGAAAGATAAAAAAGAAAAGATACAACAAAAAAGATGTTTCTTCATAATTGGTACTTAGTAACGAGTAACGACCAAGTGGAAATAATATATAAACAAGGACAAACGGGGGGCATTATTTTTGTAGAATAGATATGAGAATGTTTGAAATTCGAAAAGTGGGTTTTGGAGGGAGAGTGGGAGACACGGGATACGTATAGTGGGACCACTGCGCTCCCTAAGATGCACGCAAAGATTAAATCTGGTCCGCTCCTTCCCTAGCTTTCCTCCACGTGGCTATCATTCTTCACTTTTTTTTTTGTTTTTTGGCTAATCATATCATTCTTCACTTTAATTTAAGCTTCGAGCTTCTGACCTTTTCTGTCTTCCTCTATTTTAACTTTTTTTTATGCCTAATACCAATATGCCATATAGAATATTGTTGTGGGATTATATCCTTAAATTTGTCTGTGGAATTTTGTCAAAATTTTCTCTAATGTGATGTTATTTTGATGTATGAAATAACATAATAGAAGGATTTTATTTGCTTATGTACGTTTAGTTCGTCGATTTAAATTTTGAATTCGAGTTGAAATGTGACTTTATGTGAGAGTTTTTTGCTGTAATAAAAAAGTTAGATGTGACTGTTTCTGAAAGTTTTTTACTGTAGTAAAACTCGAATTCTAAATTCGAATCGGTGAAATAAACGATACCAATTTGGAATCATAAACTATTTTAAAAAAAGAAAAAAAAGTTGAAATCATAAATCAATGGTGCAAGATTTTTTTTCTTTTTTTTTCTAAATAATAATTAATGGGTGCAAGTTAGTTTAGCATGGTCTCAATTTCACTCCTTTGTTGAAAGGGAATTGCAAATCGTTCAATACATCTATTAATCTACAGTTTATACATACTTAAAAAGAGTTAAAGAATTCACTTTTAAAAATGTCATATGTTGGCTTTTATGGAGGCCACATATTAGCCTCTACTTTCTTTTCTTTTTTATTTTTTTTATTCTCTCTATTTTTCTCTTTTTTTCGTTTTTAGACTTTTTTTATATTTTTCTTCTCTCTCTTTTTCCTACCTATTGTTTTTTTCCCCTCATTATTGCCTACCTATTACCTTTTTAATAGTAAATTTTCTTTTTATTTCATTCACACTTATTCACTAAGTGTGAATAAGCTTTTATATATGGACTGACGAAACAAATGATGAAACATACAGAATGTTTCATTTGTCTCTTCATAAAAAAATCTTATTTTTATTACCATAACTTATTGAAATACTGTTGCCTAATTTTGACACGTACATTTTGATCCTTTTGTTTTTTTTTTTTGTTCATTTTAGATCTTGTGTTTTCTAATTGTGCCTTATTAAACTTTATCTCATAATATGTGCTCATTTAAATAATTTTAAATATATGCTTGCCTAAATATTTTTTGTTGTTGTTATTATTTCTTTTTTAAAATGTATGTGTCTAAAAAATACAACATACTCAATACCATGTGCGCAATGCGTATTTCAACTAGTTCGACATAAAAGTACCGGAAAAAAAGGGAAGAATGTGATCCAATCTCAACAAGGGAGCGGAGATATGTTCTTGGTGGTTAGCTGGAGAGAAGACGTGGAAGATCTACAAGATGTTGATGTGGGTATAAAATGTGAAGATCGACGAGGTTCTAATATTTCTATGTTACTTTTTGGGTCCGTTTAGTTCGCTGATTCGAATTTTTAATTTGAGTTGAGACGTGACTTTATGTGAGAGCTTTTTACTGTAGCAAATAAGTTAAATGTGACTATTTCTGATAACTTTTTAATGTAGTAAAACTCAAATTCTAAACTCGAATCGGTGAAATAAACAGAGCCTTTGTATGTTCATTGAGAAGTTTGTAGATTACACTTCATTTTTATTTAGTTTTCAAATTAATTAATATTTAGAACAGTAGTCAATGTAGATTAATAAAAATAGTTTGATATTATAGAAGTTTAATTAGTGAAAGGACTCTTTTTAAGTTTTCAACTGCTCCAGATAATACAAAGTAATATTTAAGACTTCTACACAATAACGAACAGGGACAAACGTGAAATTTTGACTTAACACGCGGAGTATGAAAAAAAAATGTTCATCTTAATTATGCCATGCAAATTTAAACTTTTGAGTGACATTATGGACATAAAACAATAATTTTTTAATGAAAACTATTTGCAATTTTTACTCAGTAAGAAATGCCAAACGAATCAATACCATAGATATTAAATTAATTTATGAAAATTAAAGACATAAAATTTGAGATTTTTTACTGTGGAGCGTCAATTATTTTGCTCTACCGGTAAGAACCGTTGTTTTTAATTGTTAGATTAATTTTTAACGGTTAAATATGTGTAGATCCGATTAAAAATTAACAATACGCCACACAAAACTGTTCTTAATACATATATGACCGTTGAAAAATTAATCCAAAGATAAAAATACAGTCTCCACCAGTGGAATAAAATAGCTTACTCCACCGTAAAGACTCCCGATAAAATTTATATAAAAAAAGAAATGAAAAAAAATATTGTAGTATGAATGGTAATTTTGCCTATCTTAGTTGAAACATGTAACTGATTGTGAAGAACAAAGAGAATTACCGCAGTAAAAATGTAATTGAAGGAGATGAGTATTTTCAAGCATTACACAAGTCTATAACAAGTACTAACATCCAAATATTTTTTGTTTGATAAACGTTAACATCCAAACTTTGGCTACTCTTAAAGAAGGAATCCAAACTTTGGTTTCAATTACTTTGGGTGGGTCTAATTAATGGAATCTAAAAAAACCAAGATGCCAAAGGGTAGGGTCCCAATGTCATATACAAAGTGACAAATAATTTGGAAAAGTAAAGCAAACAAATATATATAAATGTTTGGTAAAAACTAAAAAGTACTAACGCAAAAACATATTAAAATCACCTTTTTTAATTTCCTTTAATCACGCCAAGAACATAAAAAGGATGCCTTAATATTGGAAATATCAAAGTTTGTCCCACATCTGAGGGTCTAATCACAATGATTATTTATTTTATCACCCACAGTCTTCTTCAATCTTCTAATTTGCTTTCCCTGAAGCAAATGCACGCGCACTATGGAATTTTTTAGATGATGTCAATTAATTAGACACAATTAATCGAAATTAAAGCTACTGTGAGTTTCTCACCTTGAGTGCTGAGTTTAGTTTAACAGTGATTATTTATATTTTAAACAAAAAAGTTAGTACATGAGATCATGCTAATTTTGCTTTCAACTTACTTAACTCAATATCACGGGACATATTAATGACAAATTTGCTCAATTTTATAATTTTTTTTTTTTTTTAAAAAAAGAGTACCAATCCAATTAAGTTGAAAAATTACAGTGGCATTATCGTTATAACAAAGAAGTAGGAGGCGAGTTTCGGAAACACAGGATAAAATAATCACAAGAAAGAGAAAATTTGAAACGAGTGGCCGTTGGAAGTTCAAAAACCGAACAAAAAGCAGCTAACAACAACGAACACTGTTTCTCTCACTACTATTTCTTCAACTCAATGCAAAGAGCACCATTACAAAAACCGTTCACCATTTTGAAACCCGTTTTCTAGAGAGAGAAAGCTCCAGAGGCTAGCGTCCGGACCAGACAAAGATACTGTCTCCCTAGAGAGAGAAAGCAAAGTAGAGAGAGAAAGAGAGAGAGATGACGGGGCTAGTAATGGTGACTCGAGGAGGCGGTTGTGGCGGCGGTGGTAAAGGAAGTAATAATAACAAGGTGGGAGCGAAGAGCTCCGAGGAAGAGCAGGGCCAGCTTCCGCTGGTGACGTTGCTGTTGGCGGCTTTAAGGAAATCCATGGTGTCTTGTCGCGTCGACAGGGGAGGAGAAGACGTGATCTCCGCCGTTCATCAGATGGAGATCGGATGGCCCACCAACGTCCGCCACATCACCCACGTCACCTTCGACCGGTTCAACGGCTTTCTCGGTCTTCCGGTCGAGTTCGAGGTCGAGATCCCCGGCCGAGTTCCCAGTGCTAGGTGAGGGTTTGAGTTTGCTTTGTGGGGTGTTCTTTGTTAGATTTGTGAGATTTGAAAGTTTTTTGCTTGGCAAATTTTGTTACTTTTTTTAAATTAGATCCTAGAGAGTAGAGATTGGAGCTGAGATTTAGCTCTTTCAGCTCCTTAAAGTTGAAATTTTTAATTTGTGTTTTGTGTTGTGGGGGTTTGAGATTTAGTTGGCTCTTAATTTCTAACCAAAAAAAAAAAAAAGAAGGAATTCGTGTTGTAAACTTTAGATCAGTTTACTAGCCCTAAATTAGATATATATATATATATATATATACACACACATTCCGTAACCTGTGTGATTAAATTGACAAAAGATAATTTGCACCGTTTTGACTTAAGTGGGCTTCCCCAAGGTGTCGTTTGAGATTTTAGTTGGCTCTTAATTTCTACCAAAAATAGAAATTTGTGTTAGAAACTCAAGATCAGTTTACTGGCCCTAATTTTACTATTATCGGAGCTTAATATTAATTACATATATACTAATAATCAATTACTGTGTGATTTCAGTCGACCAAAGTAATTTATATCATTTTGACTTAGAAAAGTGGGCTTCCCCAAGTGTCGTTTTTATGTTTTAACATAAAAATGCTTTAGATGCATTATAATTTGTTCTTTTTTTTTTTTTTTTTTTGGGTGATTTGTAGTGCAAGTGTGTTTGGAGTGTCAGCAGAATCAATGCAGTGTTCGTATGATTCAAAAGGGAACAGTGTGCCTACCATTCTCTTGCTAATGCAGGAGCGGCTATACTCACAGGGAGGTCTCAAGGTAATAAATTTTGCCATGACAAAATAAAATGTCGTTTTCTTTGTGTAATAAATTTTGCCATGACAAAATAAAATGTCGTTTTCTTTGTGTCACGAGTGACCTTTCCGGTGCCTACCATTCTTTATCTTAATCGGATTTCATTCATTGACTTTTTTAAAAAAAATAAAAAATAAAAAAAAATTGTGGGTATAAGAGTAGAATTGAAATATTGCATTTAATATTATGGTGTTAATTTTTTCATACTATATGCCTAACTCCTCACTCGCCTTTTTTCTTTTCTTTCTCAGGCAGAGGGAATATTCCGAATTAACCCGGAAAACAGTCAAGAGGAGCATGTGAGGGACCGGCTGAACAGGGGCAATGTGCCTGATGACATTGATGTGCATTGCTTGGCAGGCTTGATCAAGGCTTGGTTTAGAGAGCTTCCTTCAGGAGTGTTGGATGGACTTTCTCCGGAACAAGTTCTCCAATGCAACACCGAAGAAGAATGCGTCAAACTCGTGAAGCAACTGAAGCCAACGGAAACCGCATTGCTCAACTGGGCAGTTGATCTCATGGCTGATGTTGTTGAGGAAGAGGAATTCAACAAAATGAATGCTAGGAATATCGCCATGGTTTTCGCTCCCAACATGACTCAAGTATGTAAAACTAGACAAAAAGTACTTACAGTGTTCTAATAGTATAAATGAATTTTCAATTAGATTGGTTGAAGAACTCAAAATTTTCCCCTTTTTTGACACATTCAGATGTCTGATCCATTGACGGCTTTGATGCACGCGGTTCAAGTGATGAATCTGCTCAAGACCCTCATCACCAAAACGCTAAGAGAGCGCGAAGAGACTGCAACAGCCGGAGGATACTCACCAATGTCATCTTGTTCATCTGATCATCATCAAACCGATGAAGACTTATACAGTCACACTGATCATCATCACACTGATGAAGACTTGTATAGTCAGCAAGACATGGACACCGGCAGCGAGAGAGGGCAGGCATCTGACGACGACGAGGAGAACACTCATTGCAGCCACGACAGCGAAGATGAGGAGGACCATGATGATGAAGATGATGATGAGGTTCAATCACTCAACCAGATAGAGGAGTGCTTCTTGAGGCAATTGGACGACAACAAAGGCGTCACGACGAGCTTCACCGATGAAAACTATGTGAATCCCGAGTGTTGCTCAGGCCAGAACAAAATGGAGGAATCCGTCATATCAGTTACTGAAAGCAATGAAGCAAATTCTGGCTTGACTACAAGTGATGGAGAAGAAGGTATTGTTATTGACTCGGGCAAAAGTTTGATGTCTTTAGAAAAGAGGGTCGATGCGGAGATGGAGAGATTAGTGGAGAACATCTGATCAAACACCTTTTCACTTCTCAAAGTCCTTGAGAATTTGTACTTTGTTTACTAGATTTTTTTTTCTTTTCATTTTTAGTCTTCATGTTCGGTTCTGTAAATTACTTGTTTGTTTTCATGTTCAGCAAGAAGGCTTGACTGAACTGATGTTGGGAATTGGGAACGTTTTGCTTGTGGGGAAAAAGGGGTTCAGCTTGAGGCTGAACAACCATGATTGAGCTTGGCTTGTGTATGGGCAAAGTTAAGCTTTAGGAAAGGAGTTCTATGTTCTATCTATGGCTGACATTTGTCTAGTACCAATACCATAATGTTTTTGTGGTACAACAACTTTATGGTAACTTGTTGTAAAAGACTAAAAAAGTCTTGTCGGCAAAACCTTAGGGAGCTTGTTTTTCCATTTTCAGTCTGAAATCGTGCTTGTTTAACTTTGCTTGACTTTGTATGAATCCTATCATTCAAATTCAACGGAGTCCATTATTGCATTTCAAAATATCATGCTCATAGTAAGTGCCGAGTCTGCCGACTAAGCAATTCAAAATTGAGTGATTATTTCATACTTTCAGATTTTATTCTCTTTTCAATCTAAACTGAAACTATGTCTAGCAGGTTAACACATTAGGAAAGACAAATGAGAATTTTTTTTGGTAAGCTACGGGGGAAAAAATATGCCATACAAATAGAACACTATTTTGAAACGTTAAATTTTTGTAAGTTATGCCGTTTTGTATAATTTTTACTTTTAATATGATTTTGAACAGATCGAACGTTTAAGATTATAAAACACTAGTAGGAAGACCTTATTGAAAAAAAAATCAATAAAAATAAAAGCACAATTAAGCTATATAACAACTGCTATAACTGTGCTCTTAATATTTGATACATACACATCCTAAAATATGGGACTAAATAAATCTTATGTAATTACGAATTATAATGGTTTTAGGGTCCAGCACTATCATATGTGAAAATTTCAGTATCATGAATTACACGTAAGAAAATGAAAGCTCAAGAAAGTAAACAAATTTTATTAAGTATTGTCTGTAACACTACTTCAAACAAACAAAAAGTATTGTTCCTAAAACTTAGTACATAATAATAAAAAATAAAAAAACAAAAGTCACGATTATTAGATTATTAACTCTTTTTTAAAGTCACGTCTATCAAAAAATAAAACCATTATAAATCATGCTCCATTGTCCTAGTGGAACGTCATTCGTTCGTGAGAACTTTTTGTTTTTTTTTTTTTAATTCAAAGAAAAATGTATTACGTTCAGAGAAATACACATACTAATTATGATTTGAATGACCTCCAATTACAGAAGAGATTTAACCGTGATCACAGACTGATTACATCTTCTAATAAGACATATCGAGAATAACACTTGCATATCAAGTTCCAACAAAGAAAAATCAAACACGCAAAAAGCTCTTTTAATAATACCTCCATAATTGATGGAAAGATTTTTATCGATCGAGAGATCTATATCAATAAAGTTACTGACAATACCGCTATAACACAACCCATGTGGATTTGACACAATAACTAAATTATAAAGTGAAAAAACCACCTTCATTATTACAATACAAACAACAAATTCAAAAAACTAACTCCTTTGCAGAATAAACATCGCCATTATTAAACTAAAAAGGCTAAAACACCACCCACTCTGGACCATCCATCGGCAAGAAACCGGCCACCCTAGGTCGAAGCCAGGAGAAACAAGACAATAGGGGTAACGAAGAGCCACCGGAGAAGCCCATACTCACTGACATGTGGGGACCACTTTGCCACTACCGCCACCTACTGAAGAGGGCACGCACCCCACCAACCCAGTCGTTGCACTAAGGAGGCTCCAACCACCCGACCACTAACCATTCAGGGGTCTCAAAGGACCTCGCCCTCTGGCGCCAAGCACCCACGGCCAACACTCTCCACCAGCAACACCGCGGCAGTGAAGTAATATCATTTTCCCACGCTACAAAAAGTATCATTTAAAAATCTTATATGCACCAATTATTTTGTTATACATGAGTTACTCCGAAACACGTAGAGTTGTTGCCATTTACATACCTTAAAGATGATTTTTATTTGTATAGTTTTTTGGTGGCTAAAGGTAACTTAAGATGAATTAACTAAAGATAATGGGACGTGACATTATCACAATTCACAAATGCTTTTTTAACTAGAGACAAATTAATTAAAGACATGAGTCAAAAGGCACAGTTCGAAAATCGTAACCAGATTTTATGAATCCAAAATCCTCGGACCAAGAAAAAGAGAGATTGATATGTAAAAAGTCGCATATTCTTCCACTATGTTCTCGGTCATTTCTATTTGTACCGCTTGACCCAAAAAAAAAAAAAAAAAAAAAAAAAATTTCATTTTGTTTTGTGAATTATAAAAATGTTGGTTCACTTAAAAAAGAAAAAAAGACCAAAGTCCCAAACCAATATGAAAGTTATCTTTAAAGAAACAAATAAAGAAGAAACGAAAAATAAGGAAAAGAAAAAAAAAATCTTATGTACACATTGTTGAACTTTGTATACTTTGTTTTTGCCTTTCTTGGATTGATCAAAAGCCCCAACCAAAAGATTAACAGGGACCTATATGATCATCTATTCAATAAAACTCCGAAAAAAAAAAAAGAAAAACGACATGAATTAGGAGGCCAAGCAAGTCTCCCAAAACAGCCGGTTCTTCTCCATCTCATTCAACGACTCGAATGATTTCGTCGTCGAATCCACAGAGACATTCGATTTCCGCCTCTCTCCACTACCACTCCATGTCCGACGCTGCACCGGATCCGACCCTTCCTCTTCCTCGTCGCGATCACACTCATCATCTTCATCATCATTCGAACAATTTCGATCAATCGCATCAACGCTGTCCATCGAATCGCCATTCGACGGGCAGCGATCGGTCGAGTCCCAGCTGCACGATTCAGCGTCGTCGTCGTCCAGATCAGAAACTCTCTCGTCGGGATTGGTTTTACTGCACGATTCCGAGTCGCCGGTGGCTTCGAATAGGAAGAAGGAAGAAACGTCGACGACATTCTTGTCGGTATCAGTACTTGTCGCCTCCATGTTTTTCTTCTGTGAGAAGGCGCTGTTTGGTTAGTCTGAAAAGAAAAGAAAGGAAAGGAAAATCTTATAAAATCCGATTGAAAAACACATAAGGCTTCTTGTTTTGACACTTGAAAGTACTAAAGAGAATTATATTACTGTTACGATTACAAATATATATATTTTGGGCTCTCTCGATCAATGATGATTGAGCTTAGAAAATGAAGGCACAAGAAAAAAAAAAAAAAAAAGTTATTTGGATTGAGGGTAGAAGGAGGAGGGAGAATTATATAAATGATATAAATGACATTCTTCTAGAAGGATTAGACAAATAATTAATGTGCCATTATAAAAAATTTTACTTTTACCCAAAAACTCACTCTTTCTAGAAGCCCACAAGCAAAAAATAGTGTTGAGTTTACGTGAATGGATCGGTATTATTTCATCATCTAGAAGAAACTTCAACGAATCTCTTTCTCCCATTAAATTAATTAAATAAAACAAAAAATGGTTCAAACCAACTATATTTTCCACGTGTCGGCCACATTCTTTCTTTTCCTAACTCAATCTGGTTTTGAGAGCTCGAAAATGTTATTGTTTTATTGTTGCATTATATCATAAAACAAAATCAAATCGAATGATTGTTCAATTCCTGAGGATTGTTGAATATGAGAATTTAGCTAAAATAATCGAGTAAAAAAGTAAAATTAAGAAAATGTCTTTTTAATTTTAATTTTATTTAAATAAATTCTTAATTTCACGATGAGAAAGGAGAAAGGGAAAGAGAGGGAGATAAAACTGACCAGAAATGAGGAGGCGTTGATGGTGAGGGGAGAGATCTTGGGTTTGTCAGCAACTAGGCGGCGACGACGACAATCCGCGGCGGCAACAACGACAATCGACAGCGACAATCGAAGGCGGCGGAAGCTGGAATCGGAGCCTATGACGCTGAGAATCAGCGGCTAGAGAGAGGAGCGAGAGAGAGGAAGAAAGGCGGAGGAATTTCTGGCAGAGATGCGGAGATGGCGAAGTGTTTCCGAAGAATGGGAAGAATGGCTTCTTCGGGAGAATGAATGTGAAAAAATCAAAAAAATTTACTTCTTTTTCGTTTTTCTTTCTTCTCATAAAGTCATTTTGCAAATAAAAATTTTTGAATTGTTATTTTATGAATAAAGCTTTTCTATTAGATTATTTTTACAAATGCCTCGTTGAATATTCAAGTTGTTGGGAAATTCTACGGCGCTTTTCCTATTTATTTATGGAGTAGCAATTTTTACCTGATTATTTGTTCGTCAGTTTTTGTTGCTAAAATGTACCCTAAAATCTCACATAATAACTTTAAGGTAATCGTTAAGACCATTAGATTTAATTAAAATATATCTAACTAAAAAAGTATACAAAACTACAATTTTTTATCAATATTTGATGGCTCTAAATAAAGAACTATTTGTAATTTATTTTTTCTACACTTTCCATATATATCTCCTAAAAATTTAGGACAAAATATTGTTGTTATTTTTTCTATTTTCAGGTTATATATTTTTTTGAAAAGTATTTTGAGGTCATAATTATAACTATTTGGTGAAATAAACTGTTTCTCCTTCGTAAACTAAAAACTAGATCTCTTTTTTTCTAAAAAAAAAAAAGAAGAAAAGAAAGCTCTCTTAGATTAGATTAGATAAAACAAAGTCAAATATATATTTACATTTATTTATTTATTGTTTCAGGAAAATTTTTAATTATTTCTTTTGGACCAATATTAGTAGCCTAAAATAACATAAGATAAATGAGGAAAGAAAATGAGAAATATAAAAGGATTATTTTCATAAATACCTTCAAATTATATATTATGTTTTAAAATACTTTCTATTTTTTTAAAACATGTCAAAATACCTTTTAATTTATAAAAAAAACACATGTCAAAACACCCCTTGTGTCTATTTCTATCAATAAATTTAACATAATTGCTTACGTGTAATGACATTTAAGGTTAACTAAATATATTAAATGCTAATCAACTCTAATAAAGTGATTTAAGTATTAAAAAACTAATAAAGAAAAAAAGTTTAAAAAGCTTGATATATTAGGTCTGTTTAGTTCGTTGATTCGAGTTTTTAATTCGAGTTGAGATGTGACTTTTTGTGAGAGCTTTTTATTGTAGCAAAAATGTTAGATGTGACTGTTTCTGAAAGCTTTAAACTATAACAAAACTCGAATTCTAATTAGTTTTGATAGCTAAACGTGAGACCACGCCACCCATCCCCATCTAAGATCCCACCAACCATCGTTACCCGTGACCTCGCCGCACCTCGTGAACCTAGCCAAGTTAGCTCTCGATCGGGTTGCCCACCTCACGAACCAACCCAAGCCGCCGCCCAAGCGTGCCAGAGCTCCCAATTGTGCAGAGATGTTGCTTTGGCTCACATGATGGCGCGACGAAGATGAACGGATCTTGGGTTGCAATAGAAGAGTGTGTTTGTGGACTCAACGGACTCGCGCGGCAGAAGATCAAGATTAGGGTTGGCAATCCGGGTAGCGACACGACTCGAAACCCGCACGAAGTTAGCGGGTTTGGGTTATAGTCGAGTTGACACGATTAACACGATTAATAAATGAGTTAGGTTAGGGTTGACCTCCTAACACGAAGTGACATGAATTGACACGATTAACTATATGTGTCATCTACAATCTAATGATATGTGATATAACATGAAAGTTTATATGACATATTAAATACAAATAATGTGAATTTTAATATTTTTAGGTAAAATTCATTCTTTTTCCTTAAAGGAAAAGATAAATTGACTAATAAACATGTTAAACATGTCATGATCATGTTAAATAAATCATTATTATATTAGTTATTTATTCAATATATTAATTTAAATGAGTTATACGGGTTGACACGATTAACACGATTAATAAATTAGTCGTGTTTGGGTTGACATTTTTAACACGTTTAATAAACATGTCGTGTTTGAGTTGATGTTTTTTGACACGATTAATAAACGGGTTGATACGAACATGATTCACTAACACAAATTGTCACCCCTAATCAAGATCGCGAAGCTCGATAGTTATGAGTTTGCACGATGGGGAGCAACTTGCCGGGATGCTTCACGACAAAGGCCGAATGAATGTAATTTCTTTCATTTGATTGGTTTTTGGGTTTTCTTAAATGTGAATAAGAGTTGGGTTTTTTCAGTTTAGAGTTCAAAGAAAGGAGAAGAGGAGTTGAAAGAGAGACATGGTGGTTTAATTTGTTGGTATTCACTTTCAGTGAACGGTGAAAAAGAAGAAAAAGGTTGGGGATGAGGAAGAATATGTACATGGTTTTATTTTTTTTATTTTTTGTCAATTTGATATGTTTTTATTTTTGGTTTGGGTGTTTTTTTTATTAATCTTTGAATTTTGTTTAATTTTTGTGTCATTTTATATCAAGGTATTGGTTTTTTTATTAATAATTAAGGTTTTAATTTTAAAATACCTTTTCATAAACTTTTAATCACGCGTCACATCAGTAATTTGTTAATATTACAGATAGAAGTAAATGAAATGAATATTTTAAACGATTTTCTACAAATCAAAGAGTGTTTTGTTCTGTTTTAAAAAGTTAATGTGCATTTTAAAATATGATACATATTTCGAAGGGTATTTATAAAAATAATCAATATAAAATAATGCATGGCAAAGATACATACCGAAGAATTATAAGACAAGGAAATGGCCTGCTGAGACGAGTGAAATTTAATGTTAAATTAAATACCTAATTAAGTAGAAAACTAATATTTGGAATTAGTTTATATATATAAATTAAATCTAACAACATAAAATGAAATTAATAAAGAGTTATTACTGGCAGGGAAAAAACCTGTTTTAAAACGGTTTTTTTTTTCTTGAATTTGACATGACTGCGTTGGTATCTTATGCATAGAAGAATAAATTTCTAATTTCTGACCTAGAAATTGTTAGTATTATGACCATTGACATGTCAAATATAATAGACTCCAAAACCGTGGATTTAGTCAATGTATCATATAAGTATTGGAAGTTTATTTAATAGGACAATCTTATTAGTATTATCAATTTATGACCGTTAGATCTGATTAAAATCATATTAAATTAAAAAATATGTAGAAAAATTTAATTGATAATTATATTAATACAAATTTAATGGCTGAAAGTAGAAAAAAATTGATAATTTATTTTTTTTGAAAAGCTCCCAAATATATTAAATTTTTTGTTTTTTATTTTTGTTTTTGTTTTTTTCTGTTTGGCTAAAGTTTTGTTTTGTGAGACTTGAGAGCGTATATATATTGATGTAGAGAGAGATGTGTCAAAAAAAGAATGAAATATATCATTCATAATGGGCCCGTTTGTTTGTGTTTTTATTTTCATTTTTCATGGTTTTCAAAGCAAAAAAATAAAAACGGGTGTTAAAAACGTGTTTGGTGTAAATTTTTTTAAAAAACAAAATCAAAAACGTTTTTGTCTTTTTGTGGAAATCAGAAAACGAAAAAAATGTGTTTTCATTTTCTCGTTTTCGTTTTCTGTTTTCTGAAAACGGATTTCACTTTTTTTTTTTTTTTCATTTTCTTCCCTCTTTTCTGAAACCGTTTTTGTATTATATATGTTTATTTAATATATTATTATTTAATATATTTAATAATATTATTTATTTAATATTATTTATTTAATATTATTTAATATA